GAATACACCATATATAAGGTAAAGAATATAGGATCATCAGACAAAAGAAAAAAACAAATCTTCTGTATCATCAGAAAAAAGAAAACAAAATCTTTGTTTCCATATCCTACTAAGATATGGAAATAAAACTATGAAGAGATGCTTTAACATTGTATTTATCAATACATCTTGATCAGTGTCACCCCTTCCATTGTGTTGCTCTGGTTATTTTTGAGATAAGGTCTTACTTCTTTGTGCAGGTTAGCATGGACAAAATGCTTCTGTTTTATACTTTTGCTGTAGTTAGCATGACAGGTACACATCACCATGCTCAGCCATTTTCTATTGAGATGAGGGGAATCTCATAAACTTGTTTTGTCCATGCTGGCCTGGAACTGCAACCCTTCTTATTTCTACCTTGAGTAGCTAGCTCAAGTAGCTAGGTTTACAGATGTGAACCACTGGTACCCCATCTTCCTAGTGGTATTTCTTTTACTTTTTTATCTACTTATTTCCAATAAATTCTGAAGTAAAAAATAATATATGAGGAAAGATGTCACTGTAATATTAACTGTTAACTTTTGTTCATAGAAACTTTAAGCTTTAAGGGACAATAAAGAGCTAATAAATTTTCACTTCCATTTATCGAAAAGTATGTTTTAGGAACTTGAGTATCCTAAGTTTATGAATGTTGGAGCTTGATGATAAGTATAGGATAGTGGTATTTGTTATATTATCTGTTGAATTTGAATATGCTTATGTTTTTATAAGAAAAATCTAAAAATTGAAATAGGTAATTGAATAATATTGTAAGACTACAGTTATACACAGTAAGTATTTTTAAACATTTGTTGTATATGTAAATAAATGCATAATCATATACTAGATACAATGTAAAATACATTTTCCCCCGTTGGGTTACAAATTCACTATTGTTAATATTACTATTATTTCCTCAGAATCTTTGGACCAAATTTCTCCTTATTTATGAAATAGATTTAGTGCTGAGTTTTTATTCAAAGCTGAAATAAAAAACATAGCCATTTTTTAAAGGTACATTTGATTCTATCTGGAGGTACTTACGCAGTTCAGTATGGTGGGAAGAGTATAGTTACTCTTTCATTTTCTTAACCATGTATTTCCTTTACTGCTGTACATTTTTAAAAAGTTAATGATGATACTAAGTATTATTCTCTGGAAGTTACAGAGATACTAATCTTGTGTATGTGTGTGCATGTGTACACGCATGTGTGTACGTGTGTGCATGTGTGTGCACACCAGTACTGGGTCTTGAACTCAGGGCCTTGTACTCTTGTTTGCCTTTTTCTGCTCAAGACTGGTAGTCTACCTTTTGAGCCACATCTCTATTTCTGGCTTTCTGCTGGTTAACTAAAAGTTAAGAGTTTCTCAGATTTGTCTGCCTGCCTGGCTTTTGAACCTTGATCCTCAAATATCAGCCTTCTAAGTAGCAAGGATTACAGATTTGAGTTACCACTGCCCAACAGCATACTAATCTTGAGTTAACTGTTGTGGAAAGTTTGGAAATAATTGCTGTTTGGGAATGAATGAAGAACAACTGAATTAGTCCTTCTTCTAGGTCTTTGATCCTCAGTCAGGAAAAATTTCCCGTAAGAGGATATTTGGAAATGTCTGACAGCTTTGCTTATCCAGGGGGTAGGTGAGTGCTATAGATACTACATGGGTTCTTCTTTATATCCTACAATGCTTTTGACAGCATAATACAGAATTATTGTGCCTAAAACATCATTTGAAATTTCAGTTTGCTATAAGCTTAAAATACTGTTTGGTTGGTCAGCTTTACATTTTAGTGATTTCTGAATAAGTTAAAGTATGTTTTTAAAAACTGAGAATAATAAAAATAAGACCTCAGAAAGGATTTCCTTCTCTAATAAATTTTCTTTTGTTGATCTAACAAAGACCAGTAGTGCTTTTAGTTGTTATTATTATTGATTTTGAAATACTTTGATAAAGAGTTCAAATTAATTTTCCTAGCCCTGTTTGTTAAAATTTTTTTTTTTTTGGTGGTATTGAGGTTTGAACTCAGGGTTTCAAGCTTCCTACCTAGCTAGGGTCTTGCTTTTCCTAAGCTGACCTTGAGCCTCCATCCTGCCCATCTCCATCTGCTGAGTATGTAGTACAGGTATGTACTACAATGCTACACCCTCTAGCCTATGTTTTATACATATATGTCTCTCTCTTTCTCTCTCTCTATATATAAAATTATCTGTATTATATATGTACATTACCTTTTTTGGACAATGTACCCCTCCCTTCACTTTTCCATAGTTCTCTCCTCCCATCCCTGCCTACAAGTTACATCGTTTTCCACATAGTGTATATTAACTAGCATGATTGTCACCCTCCCTCCTTTTCTGTGCCATTTGCCCCCCTTAAAAATCCACACAAAAAAACCCAAATACTATTACCATCCCCACCACCAACAATAATAATAACAAAAACCCCATATTTCCATTTCCTGGAATTTGTATCAGTTAATAATATTTTTGTTTTTTTTTAATTTTAATTTTTTTTATTTTTGTCAGTTTGGGGCCTGAACTCTGGGCCTGGGCTCTGTCCCTGAGCTCTTCAGCAGAAGTCTAGTGCTCTACCACTTGAGCCACAGCACCACTTCCAGCCTTTTCTGCTTATGCGGTGCTGAGGAATTGAACCCAGGGCCTCATGCATGCAAGGCAAGCACTCTACCACTGAGCCACCTTCCCAGCCCCAGTTAATAGTATTTTAAATGTCCAGAGAAGTTACACCTTTGGGTTCCTCCTCTAAGGATATCCTCCTTAGAGGATATCATGTGTGTGAATGCCTTCAGTCCTGTATAGATTATGTTATAGATTATGTCCAGTTATGTTTTAGATCTAGCTTCCACATACAAGAGAAAACATGCACTATTTTTCACTCTGAGCTTAGCTTACCTGACTTAACATGATTCGTTCTAGGTCCATCCATTTCTCTGCAAATGGAATTATCTTAATCTTTCTAATGGATGAGTAAAATTCCATTGTGTTATATATACAACTTTTATTGATGCTCATTTATCTGCTGTAGGGCATCTGTGCTGTTTCCATAATTTTAGCCTATGTTTTTAATGATTCAGGATGAATCATTAAAGTTTATTCAAAGTTCCATTTCTCTGAAGTTAAAAATTAAGTAAATTTTAGTATTATTAAAAACTTCTGTTTCAGTTTCCTCAGTAGTTGGAAAGGAAAACAAGTGTTAAATTTTGTTTAACATGTTCAGAAAAAGTTCAAAACTTTTTTTTTTTTTTTTGGTTGGTCATGGGGCTTGAACTCTGGGTCTAGGTACTGGTCCCTCAGCACTTCAGTTCAAGACTAGCACTCTACCACTTGAGCCACAGAGCCACTTTGGTTTTTTGTTGGTTAGTTGGAGATAAGTGTCTCATAGACTTTCTTGCCTGGGCTGGCTTTGAACCGTGATCCTCAGATCTCAGCCTCCTAGGATTACAGGTGCCCTGCTCAAAGACCTTTTTTTTAAAAAAAAAAAAAAAAATTAAAATGAATGCCTAAAAGTGTTAGTTACCACTTAATTTGTTATTTCATTTAGACATATATTGTGAAACAGATTCTGTGCTGTTAAAGAAGTCTTTGTTGTAGAAAATTGGGAGACTGTTTCAAAATCTATCTCTTAAGCATATTATTTGTAGAGAAATAAATGATCAGTTTTCAGGTGTTATTTAATGCTGTCAGGATACTTATTATCTTTTAATGGTTATTACCTACTTCTTTTAGAATGTGAAAATTAAACTGGGGAGGAGCTGGTTGCCAGTAGCTCACGCCTGTAATCCTAGCTACTCTAGAGGCTGAGATCTGAGGATCATGATTCAAAGCCTGGGCAGGAAAAGTGTGAGACTCTTTATTTCCACTTTAAAAAATACTCAGAAAAAGTTGGAAGTGGTACTAGTGCTCAAGTGGTAGAACACTAGCCCTGAACACAAAGAGGTTCAGGAACAGCACCCAAGACCAGGAAAAAACAAAACAAAAAATGTAGGAGGAATTAGATGTGGGGTGGTAGAGTGACTGTTAATTTCTACCTGAACCAGGAATGTTGATAAAGAGATGTGAACAATTTTAAGAGTCAAACTCTTGACTGCAACCCACAGGGGGAAAATGAATTTTACATTATATGTAGTATATAATTCATGTATATATTTATAATATTAAACAAATGTCTCAAGAAACTGGGCTTACTCTGTGCTTGGAGTCTCATTGTCATTTGAAGTGATTGTTACTTATATGTCAAGTGTTTAGCCTTTTTTAGTACACTAATAAAATTATACTAATGAGTTATTTAATATAACCAGATTAAATGCTGATGGCTTACTTTCCTAATCATTGTATGAGGCTAACTCTTAATGGAGAGGGGAAAATTAGAATGTATTAACTTAGGGTTGGCAAAGTTTTTCTGTAATGGGCAGCTAATAAATGTTTTAGACTTTGTAAGTCACAAATTCTCTATTGTGCTTATTTGTCTCTGCCATTATAGTATAAAACTAGCCATATATGGACAAGTAGGCAAATGAGCACCGTTACAGTGTTCCAACAAAATTTGAATTTCATGCAGTTTCATGACATTTTTTTCATTCACTTGATTTTTTTCAAATGTTAAAAAAATGCAAACATTGGACTTGGAGAGGTATATGGTTCAAGTGATAGAGCTCTGAAGGAAAAAGCCTAGTGAGAGCACCAAGCCCTGAGTTCGATCTTTCGAACCAGCACATTCTAAACAAAGCAAATATTACTCACAGTTCTAGGTGTAAAAATCAGATGGCATGCCCAATTTGGCCTGTGGGCCATACTTTGCCAACTCTAACATTAGCTTAAAAATGGAGAAAGTGAGTACTCTAGAAAATACCAAGTTTAGCAAGTGAATATGAAGCAGAGTTAAATCTGTAGGCACTTATATTTTTTATATTTATGGATATGAGAGCTATATATGTTTGTATTGTCTTTTAATATTATATCTTGCAGACAGTGGATATTCATAAAGAGAAAGTTGCAAGAAGAGAAATTGGTATATTGACAACCAATAAAAACACTTCAAGGACACATAAGATTATTGCTCCAGCTAATCTTGAACGACCAGTTCGTTATATTAGAAAACCTATTGACTATACAATTCTAGATGATATTGGGCATGGAGTAAAGGTAGGTATAACTTGTCAAGCTTTTAAAAATATTAGCCCCAAATGGCACTCTAGAAAATTAAGCTTATGTCTTTCCTAAAGGACCAAATCTTGGCTCAGTTGTGGTTATGAAGATTCCTTACTACTGTAAACTGTTTTACCCTTACTGCTTTTTCTTTGTATTCTCAAATTTTAAGCAACCGTTTTTGAATGGATTACATTTACATAATCAATTATGATAATATCAGATCAAATAAACTATGGCATAATCTTCGTAGTCTTAATATGACTGACAAATCATTCAGCATATTCTTAAAATATTTATCTCAAGCCGGGTGCTGGTGGCTCATGCCTGTAATCCTAGCTACTGAGGAGGCTGAGATCTAAGGATCATGGTTCAAAGCCAGCCCAGGCAGGAAAGTCTGTGAAACTCTTATCTCCAATTAATCACCAGAAAACCAGAAGTGGTGCTGTAACTAAAGAGGTAGAGCACTAGCCTTGAGCTAAAGAGCTGAGGGACACAGTGCTTAGGCCCAGATATCAAGCCCCATGACTGACCCCCCCCCAAAAAAAATCTCAGAAATTTATTAGACTTTTGGCATTAGTTTTCAAAATAATGTAAATTATTAAACATACTTGTGACTTTTTCTAGAATAATTTTATCCCAGCATTTTGAGAATTGGGTAGATAAAAGTAAGATGTCAATTATTAATGTTTCTACAGTGTTGGAATATGTAGATATTACATAACTTTCCTATCTTTCAGGGTGTGTTTGAGTGTCTAATATGGTCCAAGGCTGGCCTTGAGCAAAAATGAGAGAACTTAACTGAAAAATAACTAAAGAGAATAGAGGGGGATGTGGCTTAACTGGTAAAGTGCCTGAACTAGAAACTTTTTTGAGTTCAAACTGCACTGTGGACCCCCTGTATCCCCAAAAGTTAACAACTCCTAATAGGCTATTTTAGGGAATCTAATGCTAAAAGGCACTTGGACTTTTTTTTTTTAAGATCAAATTATTGCTTGGCTGTATATAATAAAAAGGTGATCTTCTGCAATTCTTTCTTATCTTCAAAGTAATATGTATTCATTTAGGACTCTATAGTCCCTTTGCTATTTGTATTTCAGTGTGTACAGGTCACAATTTATAAATCTTTAATGAAATTAAGTTTTTTAATAAAACAGTGTCTTAAATAATTTCATCAAAGAAACTCCTGTTCATGACACATTCTGCTTTAACCACTCTTTCTACGATCTACTGAAACATGGTTTTGTTAATGCTGAATGCTTAACTTGTTTTTTGTTTTTTCCTTTCTCTTCACATCCTGAAGTTTCAACTAACCTTTCAATGCTTTTTTTCCTTACCTCTTTTATTTGCTCCATTTATGCATTAAGTGGTTGCTTAGATTTAAGGTAAGAGATTCCAGGGCTGGATTTCCATTCTTTGTTCTTATGTAGAATATTACATATGGGGAGTAAACAGATCTTTGGCACTTGGCCTTCTAACATCAACAGTTTATCCCTCCTTTTGTTGTATAATTTGTCTTCATGTTCCTTGAGGGTAGATGTTTTTGTCTTACTTTGTTCACTGCTCTTTTGTACATAGAACAGTGCTTGACACAGATTAGGTGATTTATAAGTATTTGTATCAAATAATAAGTATTATTTGATAATTTTACAGTGTTGCTATATTTGTGAAACAAATGTAAGCTACCCTCTCATTAAATGTTACAAAATAAAATTAGCTGGATTTGTAGAAATGTGGAAATTGCATTATGGGTTGGAGGGCCAGCTAATGTGCTCTAACCCTCCCCCTGTGTAATAACTATTTTATTCTATAAGTGGCGTGCTTATTATATACCTGTTGCCAATATGCTGTTTGTTATCATTTTGACTTGTAATCAATATAAAGAAATTGAGAAGCAAGAAATACTTAGGGTGATGTATTTTTTTTAAGTTGCAGTATCATTTACAATAAAGAATTAGCCTTTAAAAATAGCTTTATAAAATTTTATATAAACTCTATGAGTTTTCAAAGGTGAATATTAATTGTATGTCAGACATGTGTGTATTTCAACAAAGTACAACTTAATAACTAGAGACAGAGGGTCAAAATATTGCTTTGCTGTAAAGTACTTGTCTGACATGTACAAGGTCCTGGGTTCAGTTTCCAGCACTCAAAAAGAAAAAAGGAAAATCCTGTTGTAGTTTGTTTGAGTAACATTTTAATGCTTTGAAGGATCAGTGGTGAACATGACTTCACTATATATTCAAGAAGTCGTCAGCCGGGCGCTGGTGGCTCACGCCTGTAATCCTAGCTAGTAGGGCGGCTGAGATCTGAGGATCAGGATTCAAAGCCAGCAAGAAAGTCCGAGAAATTCCTATCTCCAATAAACCACCAGAAAACTGGAAGTGGCGCTGTAGCTCAAGTGGTAGAGCACTAGCCTTGAGGCGAAAAGCTGAGGGGCAGTACGCAAGCCCAGAGTTCAAGCCCCATGACCGGCAAAAAAAAAGAAAAAATCATCAGACGAAGTTTAACCAAAATTATTTTCACTAAACAAGGCATGCACTTTTTTTTTTTAGCCAAATTTTGTAATTTCTTTTCAAACTTATTTTTGTCTAGTACCCTGTTGTTTGCGTGTCTTCAGTGTAGTAATTGATAACCAGAAGACTAGACATGTCTGTTTTGAATCATTAATTAGTACTAATCATTACCATAGAACTTTTACCTCTTCCGGAAAGATTTGACTAAAAGAGCCTATGCAAATGTACTCCTTTGTTATTGACTGGAGTGTTGCCTATAAACTTTCAGTTTTGGTGTGCTACATATGTGTAACTGTGGGGAGATTCATTCTGCTTACAATAGGAAGGATGAAGTGAACTACTAAAAGGCTGTGTGGCAGCCCTTACCTTTTTCTGCTGAAGTCTGTGTTTCACTTTTGGTTATCAGTATGTTAACTTCCAAAGTAATAGAAGTACATAGAAATTTTAACTGAAGAAGACGCAAGAGATAAGCCAGGCCTGGTAAGAGGCATAGGTACAAGGCTGGCCCTGGTTAAAAAATGTGAACGTTCTGAGAAATAATTAAAGCAAAATGGACTGGGTGTGTGGCTCAAGTGGTAGAGCACTTGTCAGAGGCAAGGTCTTGAGTTAAACCACAATCCATAATACCACCAAAAATACTTAACCTAGCAACTAACCAACTAACCAAACAAACCAAAATCCACAGAAGTAGACAAATCCATTATCATTAATGTTTAGATCAGTTGCCCAAGCTATTATCCCGACTGATTACCTTTAGGTCCCACTATTTTTCCTTCTTGAGCTTCTTGGGTTCAGTGTCTGTTCCTGTGAAGGAGATGGACCCAACTGAGGGACTCCTAGGAAGAACTGATAAATTACACTTTAATATAGTCTTAGCCTCTTTGTTCTTTGCACCAAAAGCTCCATTTCTATACTAGATGGTTACAGTGAAGAACAATGCTGGACAGAAATGAGCACCTAGCGTTGCTTGAGCAATTTCTTTTCATCTTCCATTCTGCATACAGATGAAACCTACATACATTCTTCCTCTTTTCCCCCAATTTGTTGTTACTATAAAGGTGATGTACAGAGGGGTTAGGGTTACAGTTATGTCACCCCTTTGCTTCTCTCCCAGTTTTTCCCTCCTTTTTACTTTGTATAATTATGTTTCTCTTCGTCCTGTTCTTCCTCATCACAGTCTACCACTACACTCACTACCTCCAACCCAAATTTCTGTTTTGTTTCTTTTTTTTAAACAGTTCCGCTCAGGTTTTTAAAAATGAAATCTACCAGTTTCTTCTGACATTATTTCTTTTGTGCATATGTGATTTTTATAGAATTTGTACACATTTCTTTTAACTATGAACCCCAGTTATTTTTATATATGATTTGTCCTCTACCCTCTTATTTTCAAAGGTCTTTATTTTTGTACACAGTTGTCTGGTAAGTGGTTGGTAAATGATAGTTCACAAATACCATTTTAGAACATATGTGTAAAATATGGACCTGCTGCTGCTATTCTGTTCCAGCAAGTTGTCTTTCAGTGAGAGATTTCATAGCAGAATTAACGTCTCTTGTGAGCTAGAAATACTTGCCAGCTTTACAAATAATGCCTAGGTTCAGAAAAATGCTAGAAAGCACTGCCTTTTGTGTGTGCAATTCTAAGTATCAAACTTAGAGCCTTGTCAGGAACCAGTGGCTCGTGCCTGTAATTCTAGCTACTGAGGAGGCTGAGATCTGAGGATGGTGGTTGGAAGCCAGCCTGGAGAAGGAAAGGCTGTGATATTCTTGTCTCCAATTAATCACCATAAAGGAGGAAGTAGAACTGTGGCTGAAGTAGTAGAGTTACAGCCTTGAGCAGAAAAACACAGGGGTAGCACCCAGACCCTGAGATCAGGCCCTAGCACTAGCACAAAAAAAAAATCCCAAAACATAACAAACATGAGCCTTATACATGCTAAGCTGAGCACTCTGCCAACCAAGTACTCTTAATGATGAGGACACGGTCTAAAAACTATACCATTAAGTTATTTAACATTATTGAGTATGGTAACATTAATTCACAGCCACAATGTCACTAGACATTTTCACTATTTGTAGTATTTATACTACAATATGTGTTGTTGACTGAAACATCATTATATCTGGTTGTGTTACATATCATGATTCAAGTAGATATTGAATATACCAAAGGAGGACAGATCAGGAAAATTGAGTAAATTATAGAAGTAGAATAGTTGACCTGATGAATTGTGCTAATTGTAGAGTTTGCAAAAGAGAACCACACTAAACCAGACAGACCACTTTTGTTCTTAAAAGAACATCTACTTCTGTTCTTGTGCTGACTCTCATGACTTAAAATGATTTTTTCTAATTGGAGATTGCTCTGTGTCAAATAACCTGCTTTACCTAATAGCTTTTGATGATTTCTTTTATGGAATAAATAATATAATGAAGTTATTGTTGCTGTCAGTCACCTAAGTTTCATTAATTCCTAAATAAGAGATTATGAGCATTCTTGCTCATGACTCAACATTATTACCTAACTATACGTTTATTTATGCGCCTAATGATACTTCTGGGCAGTACTGAGCATTTAACTTATGGTCTCTAGTGTATCAGGCGAACAGTGTATACCTGAGTACCTCCAGATTCTCTCTTACCCCCTCCATCTCTCTTTCTCTCTTGCTCTCCTCCCCTCTTTTCTTCTCCTCTCCCTCTTATAAGTACACACCATTGTATCCAAGCTTTATGTTTGTATTTTAAAAATATATGTCAAGAAGAATTACTGTTCTAAAGTGGCTGTTGTCTTTTTTAGGTCCACGATTGCTATTTAGTATTTTTTTTTCTTCCACTCTTGGTTGTCCAGTCCTTTATTCTGAGCTCTTCCCTTCCCTCCCCTCCCCTCCCCTCCCCTCCCCTCCCCTCCCCTCTCCTCCCCTCCTCTCCCTTTCCTGTCTATCATGGGGCCTGAACTCTGGGACTGGGCGCTGCCCCTCAGCTCTTCATCTCTTCATCTCAAGGGTAGTGCTCTACCACTTGAGCCACAGTGCCACTTCCAGCTTTTTTTTGCTTTATGTGGTACTGAGGAATTGAACCCAGGCCTCATGTATGCAAGGCAAGCACTCAACCATTGAGCCACCTTCCCAGCCCTTATTCTGAGCATAAATATATTTATACACACACAGATGTATATATAAATATATATACATATATTTATTATTAAGTTGTTGTACAGAGGGGTTACCATTCCATAAGTCAAGTAGTATTTTTTTACAAAATTATTTTAGATCTGAATTATCATTTAACTTTAATTAAAATATTTTTACCATTTATAAAGAAATTAAGGTTTTGTTTTTTTTTTGTGCTTGTACTAATACTTGAACTCAGGGCTTGGGCTCTATCCCTTAGCTTTTTCAGTCAAGGTTTGCATAACACGTAAGCCACAGCCCTGCTTCCAGCTTTTTGGTAGTTAATTGGAGCTGAGAGTATCATGGACTTTCCTGTCCTGAGTGGCTTCAAATCATGATCATTTGATCTCAGCCTCCCAGGTAGCTAGGATTATAGGTATGAGCGACTGGCATCTCGTAGTTATTAAGTTTTTTTAAAATTTTATTTACATTTATTACTGTTCTTCACTTTCCTTAATTCTGAGGGCAGTGTTTATTTTGCATTTATTTTCATTGTGTTACACAGCACACAAACATTTGTGTTTCTGTGTGTGTGCACACATGCGTGCCAGTGCCAGTATGGGAGCTTGAACTCAAGGTCTGATCACTGTCCCTTAGCTTTTTGCCACTGAACCACACTTCCACTTAGACTTTTTGCTGGTTAATTGGAGACAGTAGCCTCACAGCTGGCTTCCAACTGCAATCTTTAGATCTCAGCCTCTTGAGTAGCAAGGATTACCAAGTGTGGGCCACCAGCTCTTGGATAAGCACACAGACATTTTTTATAGAATAAAACTGCCTTGAAACAATTATCAGTGAACTATAAAGTGGTTTGGATACTACACAGGTATTTAAGTGATTTAATTACTCATCCAATCTATTAATCAAACTAAGAATTCTCCAGATCACTGTTATTGACTCACCAGGTTTTAATTTATAGATTATTTGTTTCATTTTATTTTAAAGATAGATTCTAAGACTTAAAAATGATACTGCAATTTAAACAAAAACACTGTACCTACTAAAATTAAAGTTGAAAAGTTATTTTCCAGTAATTTAGCTATTCCATATATAGAATAAAATTTCTTTTACTCTTTTTTATTCTTGCTCCTTTTCCTTCCTGTTTCTAGCAAATTGATTTGTAGTTCAGTGTTTGGTTCACTTCTCCCTCATCTCTTAAAGTAACTTTGGGTTTTAAATTGTTTCATGTTGAGCTTAAAGGACTTTGTTTATTACATTTAACATCTTTTGGTATCATTAAATTAAGAGAAACAGTTTTTTAAAGCTGTGGTGGTTATTTGATCACTCCTAAAATTTTCTCCAGATGTGATTTTTTTAAAAAAGCTTTTTCTGGCATTTTTATGTTGAGGATATAATAGCATACCCTCTGCTTATTAATTTGAGAGAGCAAAGATACGTTAATTTTTATTCTTACTTGAGTCTTGTGTTTTATATTTATTATTCAAAACAGGGTAAAATGATCACAGAGAAATTATTCACTTTAAAAAAGTTGACATTTCAAAAAGTACCATTTGTCACTAAAGATTATTTTAACATCACACACAACTTATTCACTGGGTTCTTCATTTGAAGAAATGTTATTTTTGATATATTATTTCTTACATACTGTTTTAGAACTTCAAAGAATCCCACCGAAGGGAGAATTAATTTTGGTAGTCTCAATACTTTGTATACAATTACAATTTGCTTTCTTAAAATTTATATTTTGACTTTGTAATTATAAATGTATTGATTTCAGGGATAAAATAATAGCTTTTTTACAAATATAATTTTATAATTCTAGACAGATAAAAATTTGAGGTTTGGTTTTGAAATGTGTTTTGACAATAGCAGTCCAAAATCTTAAGATTAGTTTCAAAATAGTCATGTATGAACCTATTTGGTTTATACATGAACATGAACAAACCCATTGGTAGTCTCAAACAACTTGAGATTACATTTGAACCGTACTTGTGAATTACTTTTTTTAAACTCATCAGATAATCCAGAGTTTTAGGGCTTTCTCTGTATCTGTTGCATATTCCCCTGATGACATTCATTCCTAAATTACTCATCCTTCTTACAGTTTCATTTCAGTTGGGATTAGAATAGTCAGTGCAGTCATGATCCAGCTCTGAATTAGACTGTTACTCTTTTCTCATGCCTGAATTAACTTTCACTTTGGGCCTGAGTGGGTCAAGTTTCTGTTTAAAGTAGGACATTGGCAATAGCTTTTGTGCTGCTTCCCGTTGAATGGCATATATCAGTCCTAACTTTCTGATTCAGATGTTTAGGAATATGCTTCTAGCAATTTTCAGGTAGGTGATTTTCTCATAAGAGTACTTTAAAGAAATCTCAGGTGTAAGGCTGATTCACAGCTTAAAAAACACTAAGATTTTCTCTGCATATCATATAATTTATCTTTATTTTCATACTCCCTAGCTATAATGAACTGATTATTTGCATAATTGCACATTTTTTATTTGGGAAATGTGTTTTGTTGGAAAGAGTAAAAAATGAATTGCTTAAAGGCTGTATTGTTTCTGATTGAATTGTTTTTAATTAAAACTAAATATTTTATAACTATTTCAGGTGAATGTAATATCAAATAGTCTAACCAGTGATCTGTTGGTGTGATGGCCTAATGGCAAATAAATTCTTTCCATGCAAGTTTCCTATCATTTGAAAATCTCATATTAGGAAGAGTCCTTTGAGTACAACTGTAGAATAATAGTAGAGTAGAAATTGCATATGAAATGCATGGCCTCTAATTTTTTTTCCTATATTTAAGTCTTCCCCTCTTTTGTTAAATAGCATTATTTCCCAAAAGTAATACTGGATTGCACTGTGTACAAGTTAAGTTGGGCTTTCCTCAACATTTTTTAGGTGAGTACCCAGAATATGAAGATGGGTGGGCTGCCACGTACAACACCTCCAACTCAGAAGCCTCCCAGCCCCCCAATGTCAGGGAAAGGGACACTTGGGTAAGTATATCAATAAGTAGTAGAAGATATCCATTTCATGAAGTGTTCTGTTAAAAATCAAACACAATCTACATTTAGTTTTGAATATTTGAAGAGAGAACATTTTCTTCCTAGGGTTATTTTTTGTGTTCATAAAACTCCTTTTTTTTTCTGGAAATGACAGTTTATACATTAAAAAGTTTATCTAGAAATTATTTTTAATGAATTTTAAATTCAGGTAAAATCTTAGTTCAAATTTGTGGTTTTGTATAAAGACTCATTTTAATTTATCATTTTTCAGAAGTTTTTATAGTTTCTTCAACTTATTAAAGTATCCTCAAAGTGGCTGTATAGATTAGAAATTTCTATGTAACCTGTTATGATACAGTTGAGCTTTGATTTAGAATTGGGCTTTTGTTTTGACTTAGGCAAAAATGATAAATGAATGGAAAAACTTGTTGTTTCTTTTTCTCTGTAACATCAGAGTGTAAGCTTGGTTTATTGTGCTTACGATATATGAACATGTGAGCATAATAGCCCAGAAGCCATCTATTATTCTGGTTTAGTTCTGTTGCTTTCTTTGTGGTCCTGTGTAGCCAGTCTCTCAATAGTTCAGTTTTTTCATCTGTAAAATGGGGTAATATTCACCTTCTGTCAACTTTTCAGTCACTGTAACATAAATTGGATTTTAGAAAATGTATAAGGTAAACAAAATACTTTGACAACTATTGGCTTTGTGATATATTCTAAAAGTTTTTAATTGGCAATCTTGTTTTTGGCCCCCTCCCCCCCCCCAAAAAAATTAAAAAACCCCCATAACCTCCCACCACTACCACACAAATAAACAAACATCGAATCAACAGAACACTATAAAGGAAAAAAACAAAACAAAAGCCAAAACTTCTCCTTCCCCTCCAAACTAAAACCCAGTCACACACTATGGATTGAGACAAGACAAAAATGAGTTGCAAGAAAGATGAGGATAGTGTTGGAAGAAGAATTTCAATTACGACAGTGAGAGACAAAAGAATAAAAATGATTACCAACCAGGAACAGTCTGACTTTATTTGAAGTGGTCAGAAAAGTTCTGCTTCAAATGGAGAGGAAAGGTGAAATAAGATTTAAACTAAAAGGTAGTAAGCAGATGACTTAACAGTGGGAAGAGAAGGGAGATCCAGAGAAAGGTCTTTATTTAGTTTTCCTGTAGAACATTTACATTTTTGTCATATATAGTGCTTAATTAATTTTGTTAGTGTTTAAATCAAGATTGTTAGCAAGATAACTCAGACTCTAGTAAATAAAATATTTTGCCCTTCAAATTTTGTTTCTCTTCCATATTAACAGTGGTTTTTTCAAGAAGATACTTGGAGACCACTGTTGCTGATGGACATGGACTTTTTTTTTTTTTTTTTTTTATCACATAGGATACCTAGTTACCATATATTGTTTTTCTTATTTGTTTTTAAACCATGTTCAGATCATTTCCTTTTTACTCGGTAGCTCTCAGTTATTAATAAAAGTTTTTTTCTTGGATGAGACAAATTTTTTATTTTCTGGAAAACTATCTAAAATTAGATGTTTAGAAATTAATCATTTTGTGTATTTTTAATATTTTTATTATAATGCTAAAGATGCTTAAACTTCTTTTTAATGTTTGAGTCCAGGATCTTGACATTTCATTATTCCTTTGACTCAATATTCCATCTAGTGCCCCTTATTTATTTCTCATTGTCAAGTTATATATTTGAGACTTTGAAGGTAGTAGAGTCAACACTGTTATTGCATGATGATTTCATTGAAATCACTGAGCTTTAACTTCAGTGTCCCAGCATCTTTCAAGAAAAAGGAGACTTTAATTTTAACATCTGAGATATCACTGTTCAAAATCTTACATATTAGATATCAGTTTCATATTTGTCATTGTCCTGAAGAATTTTGACAGAGATGAGAACTGATTTAATAATCATTTATGTCTCAGTGTGCATCTTCCTGTTATATTTCCTATCTTACTCTTTCATCTCCTCCTTTAAAAGGAAAATTGGGGAAGGAGAGAAGGAAATATATGTTAATATCATCTGGTTTGTATCTTGAAGTAAGATAGAAGTGTTTAGATGATTAAAAAATAGTTTATCCTCTTATATGTAGAACTCTGGAGAGAGAAAGAGGAAAGAAACCAGGCAAAAGTTAAAGGAGAAAAATGTGGTAGTATATTTTCATGTGCAAATATATTTGATATCTACGTATTTAGTAAAGGGAAATAAATTGTTACAGCTGTTATTGGATGTCTGTGGGATTTGTGAATACAAAATCCAAAATCGTTGTTTATATTTGAATATCTTTGGTTAGGAAGAGAAGGAAGAGGAAGAAAATTAGTGCATTCATGCAGTGCATTTGGGTGTTTTTGACATCACTAAAGTAATTCCAACTCTGCTAAGAAAGAGTAGAGTCTAGGAAACATTGGCTTCAATAGTAGAGAATTCTGTGTTCTCAAAAACTAAATAAACAAAATTGGCTTAGTACAGGGAAATGAGGTTGGAGAGTGAGAAATAACAGTATTCACCAGAACCCTGATGGTGGAGGAGAGATAGCAATTGGTAGCTGGGATAAGCCACATTTCCTATTTCTGATTACAAATTGTATTTCACTACTGGCAATTATTTGAATTGATTGCCCCGAAACCTGATTAATCACACGATACATCCGCTCTTCTTTTTGTAGGCGGCACTCCCCCTATCGCACACTGGAGCCAGTGCGTCCTCCAGTGGTACCAAATGATTACGTACCTAGCCCAACCCGTAATATGGCTCCCTCGCAGCAGAGCCCTGTGAGGACAGCTTCTGTGAATCAAAGAAATCGAACTTACAGGTATTTTCTCTACCTCAGCGCAAAACGTGATGGTTTAGAACCATATTTGTTCAGATAAATCTTTCTCATTTTCCAAGCGCTAAGTTCTAGTTCTTTTCCTCACTCTACTCTTCCAAACCTCATCTGATTCCACCCCTCCTCATGTTCTGATGCAACTGAGCAGTCAGGAAGCTAAAATGGAACAGGTATCTCCCAGTGCAAACTTTGCTACAAAAAAAGTTTAATTGATATAAAAAAATTATGGACCAGGTGTGGAAAGTTGAAAATACTTTTTTAGTGGAACTTTACAGATGAAAAACTACACAATAAAATACTGGGTTGAGATAGTCTATCAAGATAACATAAAATAATTTCTTCAGTTGAGTATTAAAACGAATATAAGAAGGTAGTATTCATTATTTTTTATGTGTTGTCCCAGTGTGTTTTACTTGTCTTTATTTTTTTCAGTTTCTTTTTTTTTTTTTTTGTCAGTCATGGGTCTTGAACTCTGGGCCTGGGCGCTGTCCCTCAGCTCTTCAGCTCAAGGCTAATGCTCTGCCTCTTGAGCCACAACGCCACTTCCAGTTTTCTGAGTGGTTTATTGGAGATAAGACTCTCATGGACTTTCCTGCCCGGGCTGGCTTTGAACCGTGATCCTCAGATCTCAGCCTCCTGAGTAGCTAGTATTACAGGCATGAGCCACCGGCGCCAGGCTCAATTTCTTTAATACCTCTTACTGAAAGCGGCCAAAGGAAGCTTGCAGAACTCAGCTAACAACTTGACTAACAAATTTGTATTTGAAATGGAAAGTATTTGAAACCTTTCCTGTGGCTAAGTTCATTTCAGAGAATGTTGGGAAATGCTGAGTGTATCTTACTCTCTATAAATTCTCAAATTTTATGGCTTTTTATTTCTTCAGCAGCAGTGGGAGTAGTGGAGGAAGCCATCCAAGCAGTCGGAGCAGCAGTCGAGAGAACAGTGGAAGTGGGAGTGTGGGGGTTCCTATTGCTGTGCCTACTCCATCTCCTCCCAGTGTCTTCCCAGGTAAAGTACTGACGGTTCCTTGTGTCTACTTCTCTTTTGTGAATTCCAGTGCAGATTGTAATTTAATTGTTGGGGGCTGTCTCTCCTACCTCCTCCTCCTTCTCCTGCTGTTCTTATTCCTCCTCCCCCTCTCCCTCCTTTTTTTTTTAAATATATTTTTTATTGTAAAGATACTGTACAGAAGGGTTACAGTTACATGAGCAAGGTAATGAGTCCATTTCCTATCGAACATTGTTACCTTCTCCTTTGTTTTTCCCTACCATCCCTTTTCTCCCCACCTCCTCCCTCCCTCCCAAGTTGTAAAGTTCATTTTCAGCATAGTGTTCCCTCCTTTTTTGTGTGCTGAGGATCAAATCTAAAGCCCCATGCAAGTAAGCTTTCTCCTTAATCAGGATTAAAAAATTCTTTTAGTACTCCATAAATATTGGGAAGGCTATAATTTGTTATTTTAGCCAAGTGCTATTTAAAATTTTGCTATTTTTATACTTCTCTATTACTTGAAATTATGGTTTTGGTGTTTTGAGGTTTCAGGTGCCATTTTTTGGTATGAATTTTAGATGTGTAATTGCTGCTAGTGTTGTTGACAGTGCATACATTTGGACATGGGCTAGGGGTCTGATAACATTGATGTGAGACTGGTAACCAAAGACAATCAAATGAAGTAGGCTTAAAAGTTACATTTAGTGAATTGTTAGAATTTGATTTTCTCTAAAATGGTACTCATTTTTTTCCCCCTCCAAAATAGGAAAATATGCTTATTTGATAGGAGGACATAGAAAATTTAAGTTTTGGGAAGTGGTGCTGTGACTCAAGTGGTAGAGTGCTAACACTGAGCAAAAAAGAAGCTCAGGGACAGTGCGCAAGCCCAGAGTTCAAGCCCCAGGACTGGCAAAAAGTTTAAATTATGGTCTGGAGACATGACTCAAGTGGTAGAACACCTACCTGGCAAGCATAAGGCTCTTGAGTTCAAATACCACTAATGGGAAAAAAGTTTAAATTTAGTTTTAAAAGCGTAACACAAAAGACATTAGAATACAATGTTATATATTTAAGGTGGCCATGGTGGTACATCCATGTAGTCCTATTAATAACTTGGCCAACATAGTGAGACCCTGTGTCAAGAAAGAAAAACTATTTTATCATGAAAAATATTTGAGTATGCATATGTGTTCTTGTGTGATAAGATATTTGTCTGACATATGGCTGTTTTCTGACTTGTAAAATTCAAACAGAGTGCTGATTTTTAGAAATGTATTATGCTTAGTTTTGCATACTATTTACAGAATGTTATGCTAAAAGTAACACACAGGGAGCTGTTGCTAGATTAGTAGTGTTCACATAAAAAGGAGGACTTGTTTATAATGAATTTAAAAATTTATACATTACTCTGAGCATCTTACATTGTTTGTTGCATATCTAATGTCCTTTAACATAAGCTTCATTCTTTTCTCAACTCTTCTTTTTTTTTTTTTTGGTTTTGTTTTGTTTTTGGCTATTGATAAACCCTGAATGTCTAACATTAAATACTCTAATGCCTGTTCTAATCCAGCCTAATGTGACTGCCTCATTAATGCTGCTTCTTACTCCTCTTTCCCCTTAGCCCCCGCTGGCTCTGCTGGCACTCCTCCCCTTCCTGCTACTTCTGCATCTGCCCCTACCCCTCTTGTTCCTGCTACTGTCCCCTCCTCTGCTGCCCCAGAAGCTGCTGCTGGGGGTGCCCAGACCCTTGCTGATGGCTTCACTTCTCCAACTCCCCCTGTTGTTTCTTCTAATCCCCCTACAGGTGAGTATTCACTGACAGGCAGATCCAGTCATCTGGCTATTCTTACCTGGAACTGCAACTTTATTTTACTTTTATTTTTTGTTTCTTGGGTTGGTTGTACATTGTATTAGATAGATAGATAGATAGATAGATAGATAGATAGATAGATAGATAGATAGATAGATAGATAGATAGATAGATAGATAGAATGTTCTAACTAGAAAGTGGTATGTGATCAGAGATTAGAATTTCTTGCGAATAGACATACCTTAAATTTCATTTATTAAAGGATTGTAAACTTAGTATTGAGTCACTAGAAATATTGTTATAGGTCAAGTAATTGACAAAAAGAATATTATTGAAAAAATGATATTGAAAGGGGTATTTTATAGAAATATTTCATGTAACAAATTAAGAGCCCTTGTACATCTCTTAGAATCTCCTAGCAGAATTGGAAACTCAAACAATGGATTTCTAAAGGATTTCAGGTTTATTTAAGTTAATTGTGTTTTAGTGTTTTAAAATTACAACCTAAAATGTGTTTCATGAGATAGGAGATAAAGACTCATTTGTTACAAACATTTAAATACTGATAAGTGGTTAAAGAGTTTTTATCTGTTCTAAAAATGTATATATGTATGTATGGACACATTACTCTAGTGTTTAGCTTGCCAGTAAAATACAGAGTGAATATTCACTTCTATAACCAGATACATTTTAAAAGACACTTTTAGCTAAATTGGATTTAGATGCTGTAGCTTTTATAATAGCAGTTACAACAAAAGCTTTCTGATATTAGAGGAAATGATTTTAGTTTTTCACCATTTAATATGATGTTTGCTGTTGGTCTGTCATATATAACCTTTATTATGTTGAGGTATGTTCCTTCTATTCCTAGCTTCTGTTGAAGGCTTTTTCTGCATCTTTTGATACGATCATGTGATTCTCGTCTCACTCTGCTAATAGGGTGTATTATGTTTATTGATTTATAGCTCTTGCATCTCTGGGATAAAACCCACTTGATCATGGTGTATAATTTTGTTGATTAGTTGTTGAATTCTGTTGTCAAATATTTTATTAAGGAGCTTTGTGTTCATACTCATTAGAGAGATTGGTCTGTAGTTCTCTTTTTCATTGGGTCCCTACCTGGTTTGGGGATGAGTATAATGGTGGCATCATAAAATGTATTTGGTAGTAATCCTTGCATTTCTTTTTTCTTTTTTTTTTTTTTTTTTTTTGGTCCAGTCGTGGGGCCTGAACTCTGGGCCTGGATGCTGTCCCTCAGCTCTTCAGCTCAAAGCTAGCGCTCTACCACTTGAGCCACAGCGCCACTTCCGGCTTTTTTCTTTTTGCTTATGTGGTGCTGAGGAATCGAACCCAGGGCCTCATGCATGCAAGGCAAGCGCTCTACCACTGAGCTACCTTCCCGGCCCCATTGCATTTCTATTTCATGGAAAAGTTTGGAAACTATAGGTGTTCATCTTTAAAGGTCTTACAGAATTCAGTTGTGAATCCAACATAACCTCAACTTTTTCTTGTTGGAAGTCTCTTTATTACTTCCTTGATCTCATTGTGTATTTTGAGTCTGTTTTAGTATTATGGGTCTTTTTGGTTCTGTTTAGGCAGCTTGTATATCTCTAGGAATTTATCTGTTTCTACCAGATTTTCCATCTTATTTGAGTATAGGGTTTGAAAGTAGTCCCTCATAATCTTGGATTTCTTAGATGTTTATTGTGATGTTTCCTTTGTCATCTCTAATTTGTTGATTTGAATCTCTTTTTTCCTTTTACTCATCAACTTAGCTAGGAGTTTTTCAGTTTTATTAATTTTTTCAAAGAGTTAGCTTTTTGTTTTGTTGATTCTATGTACAATTTTTTTTTAGTTTGTAATTCATTGATTTCTGCCATAATCTTTACTATCTTCTCCATTTGATAGTTTTGAGTTTCATTTGTTCCCATTTTTCTAGCAGCTCTCGCTGCATCCTGACGACGTCATTTCCTTGAGCTGTTTCTGTTTTCTGTATTCATGTATTTGGAATTACGAACTTGCCTCGTTTTCATTTTCATTCAATTGTAGGGACTTAACCTACAGTTGTGTAGGTTAAGTGTGTTGTTCAGTCTCCATATGTTTGAATATTTCCTGTAGTATCTTTTGCTGTTAAGATCTAGTTTAATTCCATTGTGATCAGATAGGATGCAGGGAGTTATCTCAATCCTTTTGTATTTGCTAAGGCTTGTTGAATGTTTTAGGATATGATCTACTTTGGAAAAGTTTCCATGGACTGCTGAGGAGAATTAGGTAGTTGTTGGATGAAGTACTCTGAAGATGTCTGTTAAGTCCATTTGAATTATGGTGTCATTTAATTCAAAGGCTTTTTCACTGATTTTTTGTTTGGTTGTCCTGTCGTTTGTTGAGAGTGGAAGTGTTAAAGTCTCCCACTATTATTGGAATCTATCAGTTTCTTTTAAGTCTAAGAGTGTTTGTTTAATGTGTTTAGGTGCCCCATTGTTTGGTCCATATATATATTGACCACTGTAATTTCCTCTTTGTGGATCATTGTTTCTACCTAGGTCTACTGGTAATTAGCCATAAGGTCTTATTCATTTATTTATATTGTAAAGGTGATACAGGGGGGTTATAATTACATAAGTCAGGTAATGAGTACATTTGTTTTTGAACAGTGTCACCTCTTTCCTCATTTTTTCCCAGTTTTTTCCCTCAGCCATAGGATTTTTTTAAAACTTAATTTGACCCCAAACAAAGCAGATATCTCATTAATATGTAGTGTCTCATGGTTTTGGATCAAGCTAACATATAACAGTTGAAAATTTAAACTGCATTTATAGAATTCATAATGGTGTTAATCGAATATTTTTTACTTGAAGATCCTAGGTTTGTGTTAGTTTAGATTTAATTAATAAAATGCCACGGATATATTTTTATCTAATGATTCAAATGAATAAATGTGTCATACAATAATTAAATAATTCTTTGATGCTTTGCAATATATTACTTTTCATCATGGTTACTTACATTTCTTAGCTGTCAGTGAATTAAGTTTAAACTTGAATGTATCAGACTTTATGCAGCAAAGTTTTTGGTTTTCATCCATATATAAGAACATTTAATTGTATGGTATATTTTGAGTGCTTTTATAATATTCAATGTATGACTCAATAATCCAAGTTTTATAAATTTATGGGGTTCCTGAAGAGCATCCTTAATTACATAAAATCATTTTATAATCACAGATAAAATGAAAAATTGTCTAAGATGAAAAATTGTCAAATATATTTTTCTTTTCACTCTTCTTTCTTCCTGTTTTTACTGCTTTTTTTCCTTTCCCCCTTTTTTTCCCTGTCCCCTAAGCCCTCCATCAGTTCCTCCTTTTCCCTTCCCATTTTGCTTCCCTTCCCTTCCTCCTCCTCCTGTCATGAATTTTAATGTGATGATTTTGTATCATAATGTTATAATTTTATAACTAGACAGTAACTGTTGTATTGTCTTTCAGATCACAACTAATGGGATAAACACTGTTACAGTGTGGGCAGTGTTTCGAAGCACTTTTTTGAATCTGAAATAATTTTCTTTTAATCATAGACTTATGTTCTGTACTTTTTCAGGTCATCCTGTTCAGTTCTACAGCATGAATAGGCCTGTCTCTCGTCATACTCCCCCAACAATAGGAGGTTCGCTGCCCTATAGACGCCCTCCTTCCATAACTTCACAAACTAGCCTTCAGAATCAGATGAACGGAGGACCTTTTTATAGTCAGAATCCAGGTTAGATTTTCATTTTGTGAATTGTACCTACTTGAATATCTTTAATTAAAAACTTTTAGTTATAATTAGCCCATAACAAGTGGTTAACACTATTTGTGGAATGATTAGAAGAATGAATATTAGACTGCTAATAATACTGTAACTAATATACCTCCCTCTACCTTTCCCCTTCTTTCCCTCTCCACTTCTTTCTCTTTCCCCTTCCCTCCATCCTTCCCTTTGTCACTGTCTCTCCCTTTGTCCTTCTCTCCTTCCACTCAATACATGATTTGTTTGTAAAGTTGTAGAACTTAATCTTTCTTTTTAAAAAAAAAATTATCTTTAAATTGTTGTACAAAGGAGTTGCCATTTGACAAAACGATTTGTGAATAGAATGTGTCTTGATTAGTGTCATCTTTTTCAACGTGCTCACTCATCCCTCCCAACTCACCCCTTCCCTCACTTAATTTTGTAATTTTTTCCTTGCTATTTTTAAACTTTTGACTGCACTCTCCCCATTTCTTCTCTTCATTTGTTTATATCCCTCTCCTTGGCGCCATCTCTCTCCTTTCAAGTACCATTTCCTGGTGTTCATTTTGTTGACCTTTGATTTAGCCTTTCTAAGAAATTATAGTGTTTGAGTTCTCTCCTGAATCAACCTTATTTCGGTTAATATGTTTTTGTGCACTTGTATATAGAACTTAACATTTCAAAACAATTCTTTTTGAATGCGTTATTGATTATTTGCTTTTAGTACCAGGGGTTGTAGGGTGATTTATGCCTGTAATCTCAGTTACTTGAGAGGCAGAGATGATCAGGAGGATGGTTTGAGGCTACCCTGTACAAAAATTAAACTGAGTATGGTAGTATACTTAGTATACATGTGGTATAGCTACCAGAGGGGAGAATTGGAGTCAGAGGCCTGGCCTTGGCATGAAACATGAGACCTTACCTGAAAAGTTAAATAAAAGAAATATATACTATCTTACTCAATTATTATACCAAACCTCTGAAGGAGAAACTGGGATTGGAGAAATGGCTCAACTGTAACAATTACAATAAATAATTCAATCTTATATACCCAACTAATCTGGCACATATTTAATCATTCATTCATTTATGTATTTATTTATCTGTGCCCATATTGGGGCTTGAACTCAGGGCCTGGGCGCTGTCCCTTAGGTTGTTTGCTCAAGGATAGCACTCTACCACTTAAGCCACAGCTCCTGTCTTGGGAGAAGGGAGTGCTTAATTGGAGATAAAAGTTTCTTGCACTCTCCTGCCCAGGCTGGCTTCAAACCACAGCTTGCAGATTTCAGCCTCAAGAAGTGAGTTAACAAGCCAGTGCCGCTTTTTTTGGTATAAATCTAGTAGCACTGGAATAACTTATAATTTGAGTTTGGGAAAGGAACAATGGGGGCATGTCTCAAGTGGTAAAACACCTGCCTACTAAGTGAGAGGTCTGCTCTGAGTTCAGATTTAGTACCACGAAAAGTAAAGTATAAAACATAATACCCAGTGTCTCGTGCTAAGTCCAAAGAACACAGTAATTATTTTCTGATGAGTAATTATTTTCTTTGAGTTCTCTCATTGTTTCTTTAGTCAGCCAAAGAATAAGGAATATCAATTTCTTATTTATCTTGCTAACAGTGGAGAGAGTTGTAGAAACACATAGGTTTAGTTATAAGTTATCAGTCTTTAAGTACAAATGTAAAGCACCTTGGTGGCAGAATATAGTACGCATATTTATGCATGTACATTTGCATACATAAGCCTAGTTTCGTAAGGCACAGGACATGTGGCACTCTAGGCACATAATCCTTTAGTACCTACATTTTTATCGATCAAAATTTCTTACAAAAGAGACTTTTTCCCTCTCTGATACTGCAACTTGAACTCAGCCTTTTTGCTTAACACTAGTTAGTGCCCACCGCTTGAGCCACAGATCCGTTTTCAGCCTTTTTCTTTTTTTGGTGATGGTTAATTGGATTTTTCTGCCCAGGCTGATTTAAGCTGTTAGCCTCACATCTTACCCTCCTGAGTAGCTAGATTACAGGCTTGAGCTGCCAGTGACTGACAGAAGAGGCTTTTAAAAAAATCCCACAAAAACCCAAATCAGCTGACGGCATGGATAAGAGATAGAGCACCAGCTTAGCAAGCTCAAAGGAGTTCAAATCCCTATATAATACACAAAAAACTGAGCTCATAAAGCAAAACATTGGTTCTAAGACAAGCGATTTCAGTTAAATGAGCTAGAGAAATTTACCAAGAGAAATGTTAGGTAGGCTGAACCTGTTGAAAGTGTTCAAATGACTGAAATAGTGATGCTGCAAAAGAAAAGCTATATCATGTATTATTCTCCCAATGATGAATGAAGTGATAACATTACCTTAAACCTCCAGAAGAATAAAGATGTGATTAGACCTTAGCAAATTATCAGTAAGGAATGCAGCAAGAAGCTGTTTTGAATCCTATTTCAGACAGTCTTTAGGATTTTTACAGCAAGCTTACTTTAAAAAATACAAAACAAGAAAACAACTGAAAAGTGTAAATACAGTCTCAGGTGAACCAAATAAACCTCTTCCACTATTCACAAATTACGCTGTTTTTTTTTTTTTTAAGTTAAATTTTTTTTTTTTTATTAATGAGTTGTGCAGAAGGGTTTCAATTCCCTATTAAGCTTTGTAACTGTGTCTTCATTTGCTAGTTTGTCTTGGCATAACATCATATAGTGAGTTTTTCTTTTTTGAAAGAATAACAGAAAAGCTGGGTGTCGGTGGCTCACGCCTATAACCCTAGCTACTCAGGAGGCTGAGATCTGAGGATTGCAGTTCAAAGCCAGTCCAGGCAGGAAAGTCTGTGAGACTCTTATCTCCAATAAACCACTAGAAAACCAGAAGTGGTGCTGTGGCTTAAGCAGTAGAGCGCTCGCCTTGAGCTGAAGAGCGCAGGGACAGCACCCAAGCCCAGAGTTCAAGCCCCACAACCGACAAAAAAAGCAAACCAAAAAAAAAAGAACAGAAAAGATCCAGATTTTCAAAATTTCTTGAACTAGATAGTAATAATTATTTGGTAATTACCATTGTGTCATTTAAAAAATATCTTCTTACTGATTACTGGAGTTCTCTTTTAAATCTCCCTGTTTTCAATCGCTATTCAATTTTACCCAACTCTTAAACTGCTTGCATTATTTTTTCCTGTGGATATAAGATACAAGCATCTAACTTCACAATGGTGATCCTAAATTTATTTTTCAGCCTCTCAAGGTGATGTTCTTTAATGTTTTAGAAGTAGTAATGTTTACTTTGTCTAGTTTTCTTAGAATATTTTAAAAGACTTATAAAAATAATATGTAAAAGTCTAGCTTACTTTTTTAAACTCTTGGGACATGAAGTACTAACTCTAAAAGTTTACTCAAGCTTCAGAGGACTGTATAAAAAAACAGGAACATTATGTTGGGAGTCTGTCCTGGGTGCACTCATCCCCTGAGCTTGGCTTGCTCAGAAAGCCTTTTACTGTTTGTATCCAAATGTTGCTTTGTTATGAATTTTCATTGTATTTCAGGATCTTTGTAAAAACTCCAGTCATCTGGTGAGCTTATCTTTTCAGATTAACTCCATTATTGTATGTTATGAAAATAATTTAATTGAATCCAAATTTGGGAAATGTTTGGTGGTATGAAGTTATGGTCTTGTCATATGAGGAACAAGATATCTTGGCTAAATAATGAAACAAAACTTTATAAAATTACTTTCCATTTTTTTGTTGCCATTGTTCTAGGGATGGAACCCAGGGCCTTAGGCATACTAAGCCCATATTCTAACTAGTGAGCTATATGGCTTTATACTTCCTATTCTTTCCTATTCACAAGACACCTAGGACTAGAATTACTGACTAGTTCTAGTATTTGCATAAAGATCCTTCTTTCTCCCAGAAAATAGTTCGTTTTCAGCTCTACTCTAAGGAAGGTAAATCTAGTCTGAAATAGACTTTTAGCTGGGCACTGGAGGCTAACACCTAGAATCTAGTTATCAGGCTGAGAACTGAGAATTGCAATTCAAAGCTTATCAAGGCAAAAAAGTCTGTAAAGACTCTTGCCTTCAGTTAATTAGCAAAAATTTGGAACTGGAGGTTTCGTTCAAGTTGTAGAGCATCAGAGAAAAAGTCAAGCAAGAGCATGAGAATCTGAGTATTAACACCCCCAACCCCCTACCCCTACTCTGAGTAGAATTTTATGTTTGGTTTACAGGCATTCTGGTCAAATTGAAGATTTGTTGTGGGCAAAAAAATCTAGAATATTGAGTGACTTAATTTTTGAAAATGCTGTAAGAGTAGATTTGAAAATAATCTTCTTCTAAAATAATTCTATTTACAGAAGATATGGGATTGCTTTTTTCTCTTTTTGCTTTTGATGCACTCCTTAAAAGCACGGTGGTCTCACATCTAGGAGGAAGTAAGGCATACTCATTCATCTTTTAAAAATAATAAACTCACCTATCATAAAAAGACTACTGTCAAATTACTGATCTCTTTTTGTTCAAGTATTTTTATCTGGTAGAGAAAGATTGACTAAAGTGGGAAGTTTCCTACTGTATTGTTACAAAGAAGTTTGGGGTGTATGCTAACAGAAGAGGAGCATTTCATCATCTTTGATGTGAATTTGCACCTAATCTCTTTTTTTAGGGCTTGCTGACTTTGTCTATTTTGTTTGAGCTCCCTTCTCTGTTCCTTGTCTTCTGTTTCTTCTGTGTATTAGAAACAGGGTATTGTGAACACATCGACGATTGTTCCAAGACCCCATAAATCAAGAATTTACTTCCAAGAAGTGTGACTTTAAGGAAAACTCTTAAGTAAAGGTATTTCTTAAAGAAAGAAACTATTTTCTGAGGCTATACTTTGTATCCCTTACATCTAGATATTGTTCAAGATTATCTCTTTGGCTTTTCTCTGGGCAATTTGTGTTTTCCCTGAATCTATCTACAGTATCAATTATTATATATCTACTACTGATTTCTGACTTTATGCCTCTTGATTTTTCACATAAACTCAACCCATATTTTTCAGTTGCCTCCTAAATATGTGCTTGTTATGTTACTATAGTACTATCTCTTCCCAACATGTTTACTGAGGTATTTGCCTATGAAGGCTTTGTAGGTAGTTTATGACTTCTTCATTTTTGTAGTTACAAAGGCTAAAAATCTAAGAATCATACTTGCCTTATTGCTGTCCTTTCTGAGTAGCCAAAACATAAGTTACCACGTACTCTTTCTCCACACAATTACTAAATACTCTTCTTCTGTTTTTAGAAATTATGTTGATTGTGTGGCTTGGCCTGGGATTAGGCTTTCTGCATCTATAGTACTTTTTTTTCCCCCTCTATTTATCTTTTGAAACATTTTTTGAAGTAAGTTATGTTTCTTTCACTCGCAGTTACCAATTAGGTTCAAAGTAGTTAACTTGATTTACTACCCAGACAAAAAAAAGTAGCTGATCAGGTCTTTTTCTACTACATCCATCCATCATCCTGGAGTTTCACTTTTCAGGGAATCTTATGCTAGTCATGGCACCATTTCTGGAAGCTTGTGAACTTTTGTGCTGTTTCATGATTCTAAGTCTCTGCCCTCAGTTCCCTCAGCTTATCTTTTCAACTCCTGTTGAAATTGAAGGTGGTAAAGGCATTCTGTCTTTGAGAAGATGCATTTAATACATTATACCCATTCTAAAGGAAACTAACTCTAAAAGTAATCTTGTTTAATTGTTGAGGTAGCTAGGTTTTTTTTTTTTGCATTGTGCAACATTTGTTGAAGTTTTACTCTAGTGCTAGGCTCTGTACCAGGTGTTTGAGGGAAAGTGATAAACATCTTGGGGAGAATTCATCTCAGTCTCCTCAGAGTGACTTCAGTGAGGCAGGCAGTCCTCTGTCTCCTCAGGGAGGAAATATATCAATGACTTGGGATTATAAAAAACTGTACTCACAGCACCTGATTCTCAGCAATAGGTTTTGATGTTGGTCTCTTAGCAGAATAATTGCCACTTAGTATTTGTTTAATGAAGAATCAGTTAGCATATTGAAATATTTTTTTAAAAAAACCTGAATTTAGGTATTAACAAACATATCAACTTTTAAGCTTCAAGGTAAAATTCAGAGAACCAAATTATTCATGGCAGTTTGCAGAAAATTTTCTTTGAAGAGGTTTTTATAAATATGAAGAAAAATCAATTGCCATTATTAGAGTAAATCTGTATGTGATAAGTGCTTCAATTTGTAATTTTTTTTAGAACATAATAAAACTTCTCTAATACTTTGTTTTGTGTGTTAATAAGTTATCTCTGGCTCGGAAGGTGGCTCAGTGGTAGAGTGCTTGCCTTGCATGCATGAGGCCCTGGGTTTGATTCCTCAGCACCACATAAGCAGAAAAAGCTGTGGCTCAACTAATAGAGTGCTCGCCTTGAGCTGAAGAGCTGAGGGACAGCACCCAGGCCCAGAGTTCAGGCCCCATGGCTGACCAAAAAAAAAAAAAAAAGAGTTATCCCCTGGAAAGGGTATCCTTAAGACAGCATATAAAATATGGAGTGGTTTTCTTCCTTTGTATGTTCTCATTTATTGTATTATCCTTTCCCTTTTTAAGTAACTCTCCCTTACCCCTTATCCTCCACACCTTTTTTGTTTTTGCAGTATCTCTTGCTCCTCCTCCTCCCTCCATCCTTCAGGTAACTCCTCAGTTACCTTTAATGGGATTTGTGGCCAGAGTCCAAGAAAATAGTAAGTTATGTCTTCTTTATGCTGTAGATCAGATTATAGGCATAAAATGTTGTTTATTTATGGTTGACTAGTCATTCACGCAGTGATATTTCACGTATTTGGGTATTATAAGTCACTGTATGAATGGCCAGTGGGGATGATAAAATAATGAAAATGAAATTTTCTACTTTCAAATGGCTTCAGTAGCAGCTGGTAGTTGTAGTTCAGTGGTAGAACACATGCTCAGCATAGAGGCTCTGGGTTTTTATTCCAGCACTGAAACAAACAAAAAGTGCAGTAAGGATAAGACAGTAATCTAGAGTTATACACATATAAGGAAAGAAAGCTCACATGAAGCTGAAAAGATAGTGTAATTAGCAGATATCCACAAAAATCTAGAGTAGGTAGTAGTATAGATTTCTCTCATGAGAGTTGTAGAAGTTTGTATATAGTTCTTTCTTCCAATCTCATGATTCCAAGTACAAAAACAGCCATGTTATAATAGGTGCCAGAGGACCAGGCTGACAGTTTGTCTCCCAAGTGGCTTCTCAGATGGACAATGAATTTACTTTGACTTGTGATCTCGTGTTGAATCATGTGTATTCAGATAACTAATTTTATTGGCACATTGAGTCTCCTAAGGAAGCTCTGGAGACTTGTTTTCCTAAATGTCAGTGAGGAATTGCTGTCATGGAAACCAGTGAAGATAGTCCCTTTGATAGGTGAATTCTCCTGTAAGCATTCTATATAAGGCATGGCATTATGATTAGAAGAGTGCATGATAGTCACAGACACAAATTTGAATTGCTTGGATCCACTTATGCATAATTTTTTTGAGATTCATGATGACCTAAAAATTCATACTAAAAAAGAAGCTGGGCGCTGGGGCTCATATCTATAATGCTAGCTATTCAGGAGGCTGAGATCTGAGAGTTAGTTTGAAGCCAGGTTGGGCAGGAAAGTCTATGAAAATCTTTATCTCCAATGAACTACCTCCCCCCCCCAAAAAAACTGCAGGAAGTAGAACTCTTGGCTTAAGTGGTAGAGCGATAGCCTTGAGCAAAAGAAGCTCAGAGACAGCACCTATGCTTGAGTTCCAGCCCCAGAACCAGTAAAAAGAGAAAGGGACAGAGAGATAAGAGAGAGACACAGAAAAAACAATGAAAAAGAAAAAGGTAATGTTATAAATACATAAATGCTTATTATAATTTATTCTCATAAAATATGGTACAATATGGTATAAATTTTGTGAAAACTAGGCTTATATAAACACAGGCTAGGGCTGGGAATGTGGCTTAGTTGGTAGAGTGCTTGCCTAGCGTGCATGAAGCCCTGGGTTTGATTCCACAGTACCACATACACAGAAAAAGCCTGAAGTGGCACTGTGGCTCAAGTGGTAGCCTTGAGCAAAAGAAGCTCAAGGACAGTGCCTAGGTTCTGAGCTCAAGCCCCAGGACTGGCAAAAAACAACAAACACAGACTGTACATGGAATCATTTTCACTGGAAAGAAATGTAAACAAGTATAAGGATGCAGCATTATTACTGCATAAAAGCTATAGTAATTTTTTAAACATCTCCTTTGCTATTATTGAGCTTTCAAGTGTTCTGAATATTATCTGCTTTAAACCTGGTGTTTGGCTAATCATGTGTGAGCAGTTTGTTACTCTAGTAAATTATATATTGCTGTAAAAAGTAATCCCAGCTAATTGGAAGGTGAAGTTAGGGTGGATGTTCGTTTAAGGTGAGGCCAGGCAAAAAGTTGAGAACCCATTGTAACAAATAAGCTGCGTGTGGTGGCACATAAACGTTATCCCAGTTTCACTGGAGGCATGAGACCCTGCTTGAATAATAACTAAAGGAAAATAGAGAAAAGGCATAAGGTTATGTCTCAAGTGATGAGTATCTGCCTAGCAAGCACAAGACAGTTCAGACCCAGGGAAGGAAGGAAGGAAGGAAGGGAGGGAGGGAGGGAGGGAGGGAGGGATCTAGAGCTGAAGATAAGCAGTGGTAGAACACTTGAAGGAAGGAAAGAAGGAAGGTAGGAAGGAAGGTAGGAAGGAAGGAAGGAAGGAAGCGATCTAGAGCTGAAGATAAGCAGTGGTAGAACACTTGTCCAGCACGGTACAAAGCCCTAGGTTCTATCCCTGGCATCCCCAGCTCCCCCACTGAAAGGCTCAAAAGTGTGCCTAAAGTTATAGTCAGACTTTTGGTTGCTGTGAGGAGAGGTGAGATGTTCAACAGAACTATGTCTTAAGATTTATTGTCATCAGCACAGATGTGTACATCTCATAAAAATGATGGTGTCACTGATGGGAAAGAAACATTAGCAATTTGTTGCTTAAGGCTCTTTAGAAATGGGCACTGGTAGTAGTGGAATGTGCTCTGTGAGAGCAGGACTTGGCTGCTCTCCTTAGCACTTAGAAAAGTATCTGACACATAGTAGGCACTTTTGGTCCAACCTTTTTTGTTGGACCAACAAAATGTAAACGTTCTCCCAAGATGTGTTTGTGGCAGGCCCTGGTTGCTTATACCTGTAATCCTAGCTACTCAGTAGGCTGAGATCTGAGGATGGCAGTTTTAATCCATTCCATGCAGAAAAGACTGTGAGACTTTTATCCCCAATTAACGAACAAAAAGCCAGAAGTGGCAGTGTGGTTCAGTAGTGGAGAAGCCTGCTCAAGCATACAAATCTGAGACATTAATCTCCAGTAAACTACCAGAAAGCTGGAATTGGAGTACTGGCTCAATTGGTAGACTCACAGACATGAGCTAAAAAGACAAGTGAGAGCATGAAGCCCCGACTTTAAGTTCCAGTGTTAGTATTGGGGGGTGGGGGTGGGAGGAAATTTTCTATATTAACTGGTTATAATCCCATGTTACTGCTCTGAGGGCTCAGTGTCACTTCCAGATGCCTTTGACTTTTCTGTTTGATGATTTTTTTTCTTTAAAAAGTCTATTTTATCTACATCTGTTTATTGGAAGGTACCCTATGAATAACTGTAATACTTGTGATCCTATGACTTCTTAAGATGTTCGGTTAAAGAGCTATTTTCCTATGTGATTAGGTAGATTTCTTCTTTTTTTAAATCACCATGCTGAATTCTGTTTATCAGGTAGCAGATATGACCTACATTCAGAGAATGGTGAGATTACTTTAGCCACACCACAGGGCTGGACAAAGCATGTTGCCATTTTCTCATCTCACTTGGAAGCTGGTTTAGCAAAGTTATCTTCTAATTAACTCTGTGGCTTCCATCTTTTCCAGATGACCGCTCATGTGACCGCTGGTCTCTGGCTAGCGCTGCAGCTCATCAAACACCTTCCCTAACTTTGGGAGTCTCAGGCTTCACCACACCTTACTCTCACTAGGTTTCTTCTGTTGTACCAACAAAAACCTCTGTGAGCTGACAAATAAGGGTTTGGGGCTTAACTAATCTTATTTCCCTCATTTCTCAGAAGCTAAAGGCCCTTCACAAATCTTAAGATTCTTATGACCCTCTCCCCCTTTGCTTAGAGGTTCTGGCGCTTGCGTTGACCCCTTAGCTTCTAGAACCCTAAGAAGCTGGCTATCCTTGCCCCTTCCTGTTGCCCTGCCAGAGCTCACAAACCTGTAGGATTCTTAGCAGTTGGGAGGAGGTCTCTGAGACCCCCAAGCAACTCTAGGGTCTAAACTTGAGGGGTCCTTGCATCTTAGATTACGCTGTTTGAGGCCCTCTGTTCTTTTGGTTTGTGCATGGTTTTCCCATGCTAGCTCAGGGAGAAAATGCCCTGTCAGCAAGATTCAGCTGGCCCAGCATGTATGTGTTCAGGACAGCCACTGCGTGACCTTTGTTAGCCAGCCAGATTAGATGTGGGAGAAAAGATCATTGTTTCTTGCTCTTTAAAAATGTTTCTACAAACCGAGTGCCAGTGGCTCAAGCCTATAGATCCTAGCTACTCAGGAGGCTGAGATATGAGGATCACAGTTTGAAACGAGCCTTGGCAAGAAAGTCTAGGAGACTGTTATGACCAGCACTCCCCCAAAAAATTAAAAATTAAAAAAAGAATTCTGCAGCATTGAAAAGGCAAACCAAGTATAAAAGAATTTAAAGTACCAAAATTGAAGAGCTTCTAATTTGGTTCCATTTTATGTTCCAATGTAAAAGGAAAATTGAAACATTATAGTAAGAAAAACCTTCTGTCATCACAAATTAATTAATCTATAATTAATTGATTAATGAAGTGAATTGCTTGAACATGGGTCTTGGAGAATTCTACCATTGTTCTGTGACATGATGTCACTCATTATGAAGAAATATTTTAAGCAGCCTCTGGAGTACAGGCAAGATCTTGAAAATAACATTCACTAATCCATCAGTTTGTATAGAAACTAAAAAGTTACTGTATTTGTAAAAAACAGAACTTGAAAGCTAGATACTATTATGAAGTAGGGTGCCATTATTACTGCTATTTTTGATTGTGAAAATACCGTACAGAGGAGTTAAATTACATGAGCAAGGTAATGAGTACATTTTTATCAAGCATTGTTGCCTCCTCCTTTGTTTCCCCTTCCCATCCCTGCCCATCCCCCCCCTCAGGGTGCCATTATTTTTCACCAGGCTTTAGTGAAAGTAGCAATTATTGTAGAAATACCAAAATATTTCATGAATATATCTCTGGAAATACTGTTTTGATGTTAGTGAAGTATATGACTCACCAATTCCTTTAGAGATGTCTTTATATATGGTTGTAAAACATTGCCTATATTTTTAATTGCCTATATATTTTAATTGCCTATATATTAGTTCAGACACCCTACGACATTTGATTGCCTTTTGGGGATCCTCTAGTCTCCCTTCCTCTCTTCTCTTGTATGTGTATGTGTGAGTTTTGGTATTAGAGCTTGAACTTGGCTCAGTGCTTTTACTTGGCTTGCTTGCTCAAGCTGGCACTTTTCCACTTGAACCATGCCTCAAGTCCAGCATTTTGTGGATTAATTGGAGATGGGAGTTTCAGGCTTTTCTGCCCTTGCTGGCTTAGGACCATGATTCTCCAGGTCAGCCTCCTGATTAGCTAGGGTTATGGACATGGGTCACCAGTGCTCAGTTCTCCAGCCCTTTAAATTTTGGTTATTTTTAAATGTTAAATATAACTTTATGTTGTTACTATTAAGGTGTTTACAGAGGGGTTACTATTTCATAAGTCAGGTAATAAGTCCGTTTCTCTTTTTGGACAATGTCATCCCTTCGGTTTCCCGTTTCTCCCTCTGACCCTGCTCACAAGTTACACAGTTCATTTTCCACATAATATGTACTGAATAGCATGATTATCTTTGTTCATCCTTCCTCCTTTCCTTTTTGCTCCCCCTTTGCCCTCCCTAAAAAGAAAAAGAAAATCCTCCAAATCACCACCACCACCAATAAAAACCCATGTTTCCATTTCCTAGAATCCATTTAAATGAATGGTATATTTTGGTTATTTTTGAGTTGGGTATTGCTTTATGCCTGGGTTCTGAGCTGCCATTCCTGCTTGTGTTTCCCGGTGTTGCTGGGATGGCAGATCCCCCCAGTTGTGCTCAGCCATTGTTCTTCCCCTGTATCTATACCACCATGCCCAGCACTTAGTTGAGATGGTGTCTCTCAAACTTTTATTTTTATTTTTGTAGCACTAGGAATTTCAATTCCAGGCCTCACGCTTGCTGGGCTGGGATACTGCTGAGCCTTTCCTCAAGCTCTGTTTTTCCTTGGCTGTTTCTGTGATGGATCTGTTTCCTACCTGTGGCTTGCCTGAGCCTTGGTCCACCTTCCATAGACTAGGTCATGACAGAGAGCACAGGCGTATGGCACCCTGTCCAGCTTCCCTTCTGTGGAGGGAAGACTTTCCTCTGGACTGTTCTGGAACCACAAGCCTTCCAATCTCAGCCTCCTGTGTAGTTTGGAATGACCAGACACACACAACTGTGCCCTCCTATGGATTGAGAAGGGGACTTGATAACTTTTCTGTCCAGGCTGACCTCAAACTGTGATGCTTCTGTTCTCAGCTTCCCAAATAGCTAGGATCACAGATTTGAGCCACCAGTGCCTGGCTTCTTGTGAACTTCTTAATGCCTAGGCTGGCTTTGAACCATGATCCCCTGTGGGATCCCAAGTGGCTTCCTTCTTTTTGTATAAGATGTGCTGTGGCTGATTTTAGAGATATTAGAAAGATGTATACATTCAGACTAATGCTCCTGTTTAGTACTTACTTTAGTTAGTACTTTAGTGCTTGTTTTATTTTGCTTTGTTTTTGGGTTTTTATCTGACATGAAATATCCATCTCATACCATATTGACTCCTAGTCATTAACTCTTCCTTATCCTCAGGTCTAAGAGATCCGTTCCTAACCACATAGGAGATTCATTCTATGCTTCATATTCCATTGCATCTTACCACACTTATTCTGCGTAATTGTAAATGGAAGTTTGGCTATCCATTTTTTTTTTTTGTCTTTTGTCCACTGCTCTTTTCTCAAGGCTGAACATAGACTCTTAGTTGATTTTTATAGAATGAATCATAGTGAAACATAACCTTAATGTTATTAACTATCAAATTCTGTATTACAGTTTTAAAGGTAACAGACATAACCACTCAGGGTCTTTCTCTGCTTACTGCTGTAGAACTATTAAATCTTGAAGCCCATTTTCACATCTTTAAAATTAGAATCAACAGGAAAGTAAGTAGGTTGTTGAAATTTTACTATTCCCTGGACTTGAAATTGTTATAAATGAAATATCCATATTATTAATATTTCTCATATTGCCTTGAACACAGTATAAAGCTTAAATGTATGTTATACTGATTTATTTGAAAAGATTGTTAACATAAAAAGGTTCCAGAGCTGGAAGTGGAAGTGTGGCTCAAGTAGTAGAGCACCTGCCTTGAACTAAAAAAACCAAGTGAAAACATGAGGCACTGAGTTCAAGCCCCAAAGAGGAAAAAAAAGTTGCGGAGTCCTAGTCCACAGTAATGATTTCAGTAAATATTCAACCCTTATCAGTACTAAGTAAAATGGTGAAAGAAAGCCATGCTTAGAGGTACAGCACATTCATGTATTTGATACGGAACACTCAGCTTTTAAAAGATTATATTCAAGTATTGGTTTGCATTTCATGACTCTGAAGCTGAGGTAAAAAATACTGTTACTTTTAGTTTCAGATACACCACCTCCACCGCCACCTGTGGAAGAGCCAGTCTTTGATGAATCTCCTCCTCCCCCTCCCCCTCCAGAAGATTATGAGGAGGAGGAGGCAGCTGTGGTTGAGTACAGTGATCCTTATGCTGAAGAGGACCCGCCATGGGCTCCAAGGTCTTACTTGGAAAAAGGTAAGTTCAGGAGTTAACTGGAGTAGTGGGAAAATAAGTATACATAGAAATGAAATTGGCTGGTACTAAAGAGAGAATCTTTTTTGTTGTTGTTGGTCTTGGGCTACTTGTACCGAGGCCTGGGCGCTGTCCCTGAGCTTTTTCACTCAAGGCTAGCACTTTACCACTTTGAGCCATCGCTCCACTTCTGGTTTTCAGGTGGTTAATTGGAAATAAGAATCTCATGGCCTTTCCTCTCTGGGCTGGCTTTGAACCACAATCCTCAGATCTTAGCTTCCTGAGTAGCCAGGAATATAGGCTTGAGCTACCAATGTCCAGCTAAAGAGATAATTTTGTTTATTCTTTTTACTGATAGGTAAACTTTTATTTATTTGTGTCTTCCACTGAATTTTGGTGATATAATTTGCAAGGTTTATGATTTTGAAAATCATGGTAGTAAAATTGTGTGTAATTTTATTTAAGTTATGGTTATCTGTTGTCTATTGAACTTGAATTTTACAAATGAGTTGTATAAGACAAAAATCACAAAAGGCTTTTCTGCTTCCTCAAGGTCGTGTACAAATGAGTAAGATTCATTCCTCATGGATGACAGGCTAGTTTCCTCATTGGCTGTGTTGGCCAGTGGCTGCCCACACTTTTGCATCACATGGGCCTCCTGATAAAAGACGCTTATACTTTATACTGTATCTAAGAAATCCACTTGAAATGTAAAGACAATTTTGAGTAAAAGAAAAAGAATAAGAGAGCTGTATTGACTATATTAATGTGAAAGTATATTCAGAGCCAGGAATATCATCTGTAGTAAAGATCGATATTTTGTAAGGATAATTAAATTATTTCACTAAATAGGATATAATAATTATATATATATATATACTGAATCTTTGGTAGTGGGCATAGGCCTCAGACCTGTAATTCCAGCTATTCAGGAGCCAGTAATTAGGATTGTGGTTTGAGGCCAGCCCTGGTGCAAAGTTAGTGTGACCCTCAACTCAATCAGCAGGCTGGGTGTGGTAGTGCACGCTTGTGGTTGGTAGGAAGAGGATTACAGTTTGATGTTAGTCCTGAGCCAAAACATAAGACACTACCTAAACTAAACCAAAGAAGGGCTGGGGTTTTGGCTCAAGTAGTAGAGCATCTCCTAGAAAGCACCAGGCCCCAAGTTCAAAACTCCAGAACCATTAAATTAAAAAAAAAACTTCTATGCAAAAATAGAAAAACCTGACATTCTTGTCTACATTTTTGGACAGAAGAAATAGGAGATAGCGGGCTGGGAAGGTGGCTCAGTGGTAGAGCACTTGCCTTGCATGCTCGAGGCCCTGGGTTCAATTCCTCAACACCACATGAGAAAAAAAAGCTGGAAGTGGCACTGTGGCTCAAGTGGTAGAGTGCTAGCCTTGAGCTGAAGAGCTGAGGGACAGCGCCCAGACCCAGAGTTCAGGCTCCACGACTGGACCCAAAAAAAAAAAGAAGAAATAGGAGATAATGGCCAGCGGTATAGCTCAGTGACAGAGTGTTTTCCTAGAATGTACAAGGACCCTTATTGGAATAAAAAGAATAGGAAAGTTAAGTATGTACTGTAAATCAGAAAGTGTGATAGTTGTGATTTGAATGATAGAATATTATCCTAACCATTATCCTAAGCTTAAGTGCTGGGATTTGCCAGATTCTTGTGTTACAGTATTTGCTTGCATTACATTCTTCTTGGTGAATTTCTGTCTGTGCCATTTCACCTCCCTTCCTTTTTATCAAGTCATCTGTTCTTCTGCATCTCCAGCTCATCTGTGTTTCTTTTACCTAGATGTATGAATAATTTGTGATAAATGTCAGGTAACATTTCTGTCCTCACAAGATAGTCTCTTCCCTGTGTTTTCCTCTGTTCCTCTAAGTCAGCATGGCTGCTCTATTGATAATAAAAAATGAATAATGATCTAGTGCCAGTGGCTCACACCTGCAATCATAGTTCCTCAGGAGTCTGAGACCTGGAGGATTGAGATTTGAAGCCATCCAGGGAGAAAAAGGCTACAAGACTTCATCTCCAGACTGGGTGTGGTCAAGTGAGAACACAAGGCCCTGAGTTCAAGCACTGGTGATAGTAATTACCCCCCCCCCCAAAAAAAAATCTCTATACTGTGTGATCAGTGATTTAGGGAAGGTAAGAGGAGTGATAATAATAGAAACAGGAGAAAATATAGTTAAGGAAGATGTCACAGGTAATCAGTGCTGAACACTGCATGAAGGTCATTGAAGAACAGAATGAGGAGACTGGATCTCAAAATTAGAACCTTTTCTTCAGTGGTCACCTTTCAGTGACAGTTACTTCAGAATGGTGGACAGAAACAGTATGATTGCGTGAACTAAGCAGTATCATTTTAATAGAAATAGCATTCCTATTAGGTTCTGGAAAGTCTGTTAATTCCCACTGTATTGTTAAGCAGTTTAACATACTCTTCACTGATAATGTCTGAGTTAGCCTTGTTCTATCTGATGTCAGATCACACACCAGTTCCAAACTATGTTAAGTGGGATTTTACTATTCAGGATAAGCATTGCTTTTCCCATGTAAATCATCTCATTTCAGAACATGACTTAATAAGGAGTATATTGAGATAGATAATCTTACTTATGTTCTGATTTTCTACCAATTTACTGTACTTAATTCCTAGGTACATGCTCTACAGTATTTGGTAGTCATTCTTTTTTAGCTCCTACTAGTCACCTCTATATATCACTTTTCATTTTAGTTTGGTATCATCTCAGTTTTTTTCCCCCAGTGTATATTTAGGTAGTATTTCTTAATAACTGGTTGGTTGAATAATACAGAATATAGAGTTTAGTTAGAACTAGCTGGTATTTACGTATTTAGAAGCCTGATGAGAAGAGTTTTGTTTTTGTTTTAGACAGCGTCATCTCACTATGCTTCCTCTTTTCCGGTCTGGCCTAGTTGTGCCTTGGCCTCATATTCCACCATACTGGTTCTAGAATTATTTTGATAAAGTCTTTTGCTGTAATTCAAATGTGCCTTCCTTTTGAAGAATAGCTTTGTGATGTAAAAGTAAATAAGTAATTTACTGGCGTATGCTTTCCCCGGAATGAAAATGAATATTTTAAACAGCATTGTATGTGTGTGTGTGTGTGTTTGGTGTGTGTATATGTTCTTTTTGTTTTTGAGCTACTGGGTATAGCAGCTCAAGCCTGTAATGCTAGTCCTTTGGAGGTGGAGATTAGGGGATCTACTGCTTGAAGCCAGCCTGGGCATAGCCAGTGGCTGAGTAGTATGTGTCTTGTCATCCCAGTGACCAAAGAAGCACAAATGGGGTTGTAGCCTACGCCTGCCTGGACATAAAATGAGACCCCACGTTGAGAATAGCCAACATTATTTTAAAAAAAGGACTGGTGGAGTGGCTTAAGTGGTAAGAGTACCTGCTTAGCAAGCAAGCACTCAAGGCCCTGGGTTTCAATTCCAGTATGCAAAAAATGGCAAAGCAAAACAAAAAGCAGCTTCATAACTGATCACTAATGTTAACAGCTAACTCACCAATAGTAATAATAGGCATAAATGCATTGGTGGCTCATGCTTATAATCCTAGCTACTCAGCAGGCTGAGATTAGAGGATCATAATTCACAGGCAACCTGGACTGAAAAAGTCCATGAGATTCTATCTCCAAATAACCAGCAAAATGGAGGCATGGCCTAAGTAGTAGAGGGTCAGTCTGATCAAGAAAGCCAAGTGAGCATAAGATCCTGAGTTCAGACTCTGGTATGAGTGGGGGCAGGGAGGCAGGGAAGAAAAAACAAAACCAGCTGTCCAGTTCTTTACCACTATAAAGAGGTCCTGGAATCATACTCTGTCAATCCTACCTAATATAATTTCTACATTTTATTTATTTTTTTTGGTCCCATCGTGGGGCCTGAACTCTGGGCCTGGGCGCTGTCCCTCAGTCCTTCAGCTCAAGGCTAGTGCTCTACCACTTAAGCCACAGTGCCACTTCAGGCTTTTTTTTTTTTTTCTGCTTATGTGGTGCTGAGGAATCGAACCCAGGGCCTCAGGCATGCAAGGCAAGCACTCTACCACTGAGCCACCTCCCCAGCCCCAATTTCTACATTTTAAAACAGAAAATTAATACACATATAGCTAAATAACTTTTATTGCTTCTAAAGTTAATTGTAGCAGCATCCTTTTTATATTCTGTATTTTTTTGTAGGCTTGAAAAATATTAACTTTGAAAAATGTTGGAGGGGCTGGGAAGGTGGCTCAGTGGTAGAGCGCTTGCCTTGCATGCCTGAGGCCCTGGGTTCAATTCCTCAGCACCACATAAGCAAAAAGAAAAAAGCCGGAAGTGGTGCTGTGGCTCAAGTGGTAGAGCGCTAGCCTTGAGCTGAAGAGCTGAGGGACAGCGCCTAGGCCCAGAGTTCAGGCCCCACAACCGGACCCAAAAAAACAAACAAAAATGTTGGAAAATACAAGGTTTATAGCTTAACTTGTGACATAAAATTACATTGAATCAGTTTGGGTTTGGCTACCTTTTTTATGTAACCGAGTTTTGAACTCAGGGACTTAAGCTTGCTAGAGTGGTGCTCTATTGCTAAGCCACACCTCCAGATTTGTTTTTCATTGGTTATTTTTAAGGTAAGGTCTAGCATCTTGTGATGAACCTACTTTTGGGCTTCCAGAGATGGAATCTCAGAGACTTTTCTCCCTCAGCTGTCCTGGAACTACAATCGTCTCAGGGAGCTTAGAATGGCTGCTGTGTGCCAGCCAAGCCCAGCTTACTGGCTTGAGAAAGGGCTGTCATGAACTTTTCTGTTTAGGGTGGGCTTTATTGTTATCTGTTCAATCTCGGCCTCCCAGGAATGCAGATATGAGGCACCTGGTACCCAGCATGTTTGGCTGTCTTTTTTTTTTTTTCTTTTTGTCAGTTGTGGGGCCTGGACTCTGGGCCTGGGCGCTGTCCCTCAGCTATTCAGATCAAGGCGAGTGCTCTACCAATTGAGCCACAGCACCACTTCCAGCTTTTTTTGCTTCTGTGGTGCTGAGGAATTGAACCCAGGGCCTCATGCATGCAAGGCAAGCGCTCTACCACTGAGCCACTTTCCCAGCCCCTATTTGGTTGTCTTTTTAAGAAATACAGCCTGAACTCTTCCACGCTAGACCCTTGGAAAGTATTTCCTAACATCCTAAATGTATCAGCAAAAAGAAGATACTTACAAACAAGGAAGCCATTTATTTTTTAGTAAAGTGAGCCAGAAACACATACTTTCTTTTAACTTTTTAAGGCAAGTTGCATGATATTATTAGTCCCTGTCGTGGTTTCTGTGTCCTATATCTTTATATGAGGAATAAGGTTACATGAGGAACTAAACAATAAAAACAAAAAAAACTAGTATATACTTCTCAGAGCATGAAGAGCATGGATGAATGGTTTTATTGAGTGAATTTCTTGAACGGTTTAAAACTGGTAACAGGATTGTAATAAAAGTTGTCTTAATTGGAGTATAAGGTACCCAATTTTTACCAAACTGTTGAGGTAGTTGTAGTTAGCAGTCAGAGATTATGTGAGATAGGTCCCTGTGACCACTGGTGTAAGTAATGATAAAAGTCACAGAGTTAGGAGCCAGTGGCTCATGCCTGTAATCCTAGCTACTCAGGAGGCTGAGATCTGAGGATCACAGTTTGAAGCCAACCTAGGCAGAAAAGTCTGTGAGACTCTTATGTTCAATTAACTGCCAAAAGCCAGAAATGGAGTTGTGGCTCCAAGTGGTAGAGGCCCTGAATTCAGGCCCCAGGAATCAATCAATCAATCAATCAATCATTCGCCGAGAGCCTATAGGTGTCTTGGTTATTACTTTTAGACTATTATTTTGATATATTGATGGCATAATACAGCTTATATTTATAAAGAAGAGCTATATAGTAGACTCATTATTTATTTGTACATTAGTTGTGAGAATTTAACCATCATCTTACTCAGTGATTAGGAAGGAGATAGGAATCTATTTATTACTCACTTGGCTCTCATGTTTGTCACAGAACTAGTTTAATTCTGTCAAGTAATTGTTTTTACACAATGTGGTGTTTTTATGCAGTATGGTTTTTACACAGTATGTGATGGTACCTCAACACAAGTGTAGCTTGATAAAATAGCCATTTTTCATATTCTGAGATGTTAGACTAAATGCAGCTAATTGTTTTCTTTTTCCTTTTTTTGCCACTTGCACTAATTAGAACCTAACTTAATTTTTGAATCCAGGAAATAGGATTTCATTTGTATAGGAGTGGTTACAAGATAGAGATGTGTGTATACACACACACACACACACAAATTTTGTGTGTGCTTATCTATAAAGTTGCTTTGAGCGCTCATGGTTTTATTTTTCAGGAATAGACTTCTTCACATCCTGTTTTTTTCCCCTTCTAGTTGTGGCAATATATGATTACACAAAGGACAAGGAAGATGAGCTGTCCTTTCAGGAAGGAGCCATTATTTATGTCATCAAGAAGAATGACGATGGCTGGTATGAGGGCGTGATGAATGGAGTGACTGGGCTCTTTCCTGGGAATTACGTTGAGTCCATCATGCATTACTCCGAGTAAAGCTCAGCAGGGCTGGGCTCCCTCCCAGGAATAGTCAGTCTTCCCAGATTACCCAGAGGCCCTGGGCATTTCCTCCAGTGAAACAGAAAGAAGGGTACAAATGATAAAAACTACTTTTTTTTAAATCCCCAGTATTAAAAACAAAAAGACAAGCCAAATCTGAACAAATGCATCTTTCTGCCATCATTTGTACTACGCTGAGCTGTCTGGATTGAAATAAAGTGACCATTTCTGAATATGTCAAAAGTATACCTACATATTTAAGTATGTAGCTAAAACAAATCAGATTGACTGATTCAGAAAAAAAAAAATCTGGGATCTTTCTCAGGAATACTGTATACTTTTGGATTCCTCTTCCTATAGAATTTGTGACATTGGATGTTCTTCACTGTCTGTGCTAAGGGGTTAACCTCATGGCCCAGTGGAATCCTAGCTCCTTACTTTTATCACAAGTATGAAGAGGAGGGAACCAATATTTAAATACCATACTTAACTATTTAAAAAAATGGTTTCAGATGGCGTTTTTCCTCTTAAACACTGTAAATTCTACATTCTCTCAGCACTTGAGTGTGCCAGACAAGTTAATACTAAACTCAATTGCATCCATGTCTTTGTAGATTATAAGGATGATGAAATGTGAAAGTCTCCAAACATTCTGAAGGTGGTAAACGGTTGCCATAGTTTGACTATAATGTGCTGCTGCATAAGACACATGGCCATTAAGAGCCGGTGCCCGATGTGAAATGTGGTAGGTAGGTTGGTTTGTATGCTGAGCTTGGGGTGTGAAGCTAGAAATTAAGGTTCTTAAGGCTCTGATGGACTGAACTGTAGTGTCCTTGTCTTAGCTACTGTTTCCAAGATTATGATTTTGGAGGTGAAGCCAACTATTACTATCCTTTTGCTATTTAAAAACAACACACACACATATATATATGTATGTATATTTACATATGTGTATATATATGTATGTTTTTTTTAAAGGAAGAGAATAGCAGTTTGTTACAATTGTCTTGACAGTCACTGGGAATGGAAGGCTGTTACTGTGCTCTCTGAATGTGTTAGCTGCTGCCTAGCATTATCTCACTAAGCTCTATGTAGTAAAGAGCCTGATTTTGTATGATTAAACTCAGAAGTAGCTGCTCTTAATAAAAATTTGAACTTTATATCTGAAACTAAGAATAAAAGAGAGTAAGATTAATAAGCAGAAATTCTAATCTACTTAAATTGATAAAAAAAATAAATCCGTATAACTTAGAGAAAAACAGCAGAAAGTTATTTCTCCCCATCGGAACAGTGACAGCTTCAAACTGAGTGCAGATCTGATGGCTTTAATAATCATTTGTCATTAGCATAACAAATATTGAAAACAGTGGAGGGGTTGCTGCTCAGAAGGTAAATACCATGATAGTGGGTCCAGAGTTCCAGCATACTTCTCCAGTCCAGAAACTTGGTCAGAATAGGTCTTTGCCAAGAGGCAATAGCTTCATCGATTTCAAATGTAGGTCTTGAGCACAACAAGTAGTACATAGAACTTGGTTGGAAGATGAACAAGTGTAGTGTATGAGGAAATTTAAATGGTGTAGGCTGAAATTAACTTTCATTTGTAAATCTTATCCGAGCATAAAACATCACAATTTAATTAAGATTCAGCTAGTTTTCTTATCAAATTTTTCTGTTTTAAAGTTGTTTAAAAAACACATTAGAACTTGTTTTGCGTTTCAGTTTTTCTTAATGCTCTACATTTAGCTTTAATAACTTGTCTTTAATACACATTCTACTTCGTGCTTTTGTTAGGTCATCTTCACATGACTTACTCCTTGCTTTCCTTCAAACTAATGGCTTGGAAATGTTCTCTGAGCTCCATAAGGAGCCCAAACAAGACTATAATAGAAAGGTTGAACTCTCCTAAGTATTGGTGCATAACTAGAATCTTTTGAAATTACTTTTTTCAATTATTTATTTTAGTAGCATTTTGCTGAGAAAGCTTGTGGGTTAATAAAGGCAGAAGGTGTTTTGAAATCCAGCAGCTAGCTCAGTACTTCCAGAAACAAAAGCAGCAGAACTGAGCTGCAGGTGGCAGTCAGCAGGAGTGCAGCTCACCTGCTGTGCAGAAGGTACTGGTGAGGCCCTTTATGCTGAAGACCTGCACTGGGGGAAATTTATGTCTGTTGGTTTTTTCCTATGATTCAATAGTAATGTATATGAGTTTTTTATTTAAAAAATTTAAATTGTTATTGTAAAGGTGGTGAACAGAGGGGTTACAGAGTCACTAAGTCAGGTAAAAAGTACATTTCCTTTTGGGCAATGTCACCCCTTCCCTCGCTCAAGATTTTTTTTTTTTAACTGGTTCTGGGGCTTGAACTAAGGGCCTGGGTGCTCTCCCTGAGCCTCTTTGTGCTCAAGGCTAGCACTTGAGCCACAGCACCACTTCCAGCTTTTTGTGAGTAGTTTATTGGAGATAAGTGTCTCACAGACTTTTCAGCCCAGGCTGGCTTTGAACCATGATCCTCATATCTTAGCCTCCTGAGTAGCTAGGATTACAGTCATGAGCCATGAGTGGCCAGCATTTTTCTTTTTTAAACAAACACTATTTTTTCCTTTTCGGTCATGGGGCCTGAACTCTGGGCCTGGGCGCTGTCCCTCAGCTCTTCAGCTCAAGGCTAGCGCTCTACCACTTGAGCCACAGCGCCACTTCTGGCTTTTTGTGCTTATGTGGTGCTGAGGAATCAAACCCAGGGCCTCATGCATGCAAGGCAAGCACTCTACCACTGAGCCACCTTCCCAGCCTCCACAAACACTATCTTAAGCAGTTTTTGATGTTGTTGGTTGTGGGGCTTGAACTCTGGGGCCTGGGCACTGTCCCTGAGCTCTTCAGCTCAAGGTGAGCACTCTACCACTTGAGCCACAGGGCCAATTCTAGTTTTTTTGGTGGTTAACTGGAGATGAGTCTCATGGACTCCTGCCTGGGCTGGCTTTGAACCATGATCCTCAGATCTCAGCCTACTGAGTATTTAGGATTACAGGTATGAGCCACCGGCGTCTGGCTAGCTTCTGGATTTTTTTGTTTTTACCCCTCTTTAATTTTTGTAGTTTCAAGTTTTATAGGTTCTCTTGAAAGCATACTACATAATAATGAACCAGGCCTACAGTAATCGGAGACTTTTAATGTATGTAATATAGATTGCATGCCATTAATAGTCCATGAGATAGTTTCTTTTAAGTGTCAGATCCGTTTTTCTAATAAACTAAAGATGGTTGGTATTTAAATTTCAAATAAGAAAATCTTGATATGCTGCGTATTAATAATATTGCAAAGATGACCTGTCTTAAAATTTGATCAGTAAGCAACCATTTTATTAACATAGAGGGAAATGATGGTGTTCCTTCCTCCTAAAATGTTTGTGTGGCCCAAATCGGTTCCTTTTTCTTAGTATTAATATTTGAAAGTCTGTGAGGATATAAATTCTTGTCTTTGACCTATGGTAAAGGCAGATTGGAAATAAAGAGTGCCAATGTTTCAAAATCTAAGCCTGAGATACTCATCCTGTTGTCTTTGAAATAAATATGAATCTTTTAATATATAGGCTTCATTATTTTCCATCTTCTGGCTACTTTATTCTGTCTTCTTCAGAGGCTCCTGCTTGTCTCCATCTTGAGGTTGGTATGACTGCTGATTTTGCTATATTCCTAAGTCACTTCATGACATTTTCATCTGTTCCTTTCCTTCATCAAACCTGTTTATTATTATTATCAGTTAGAATGTTCTATGCATCTTTGTAGTAGTGTCTGCAGCATAGTCTGGTCTTTAGTACTTTTATACTGATTGAAGAGAATTCTCTTCCTGTTTGAGGAAGTATCAATATGATAGTAGTTTGCTTTTATATTTGTTTACATTTTCTTGTGCAGGTGACCTTTGTGCATTAAGAACTGTTCACCTTTTATTACCTTTTCTCCAATTAGAGTGAGCCTGGCATGTCTTGAAAGCCACCTTTATCTCTGAAAAGGGTTTGATGTTGGAATTGTACAGGTGACTGCTACATCTTTGAAAAGCATGAGGACCTATTTACTTCCAAACTTTTTTGGCCAGGAATTCCTTGGTGTGAATGTGATATTTTCCCCATGATTTTCACAGACTCATAGAATTTTAGAGCTTGATGAGTTTTTGAATTTTTTGGTTGTCTGACTGCTATGTTTAATTGCTGGTGAACAGCTAGCTAATGGTGGAAGAGTTCTTGATTCTGTCTGGTACTCTTTCCAGTGCACCACAACTGTCTTAATTAAATATGCAGTATTTTCTTTAAACACATTCTACTTGATGTTTTCAGGAATATACTTGAAAAGATGCCATGTTTTGATAACCATCAGAGTATTGAGACTGTTTAAAGGAGTATGTTAAGTATAACCTTAGTGAAAATAAAATTTGCCCACAAACTTCAGCACAAACTTCTATGTGTGTAGCAAAAATGCATTAGTTCAACACTGGCAAGAGCACAGCACAGAGAGCAGCCTTATTTACGAGAGCCTTATAAAAGTTATTAAATGGAGGCATTGAGCTCATTATCTTTATGTTTACTTTATGCTCTTGAGTTTGAGAATCTCTATTTAGAAAAGATTATAAATGAAATGACAGGGCCTAGCTGTGTATAATATCTTAAGGCTTTTTTTTTTTTTTTTGGTAAAAAAACGAAACCCTACCAAAAGTTTATTTTCACATTAAAATGAAAATCTTTTGCAACTTCTGAATTCTGCAATTTTTATCACATTTGTGTTCATGAACCTTTCTTCTTAAAATAATTTACAAATTAGGGTTGTAAACAACTTATGATCTGGCTAGTTATACTTTTAAGCTCCCAGAGCAAGTTGATAGTGTTGAGTAAAATACCATTCAGGCAACTTGAGGGAACAGGCTGTTGCCAGTAATGTTTCTTGTGTATGCCATTAAATCACCTCCAGATGTGGGGGAATATTCACTTTTTAATTTTTAAAATTATATTTGGAATTATTGCTGTGTACTAAAAGTTGACCTCAATAAAACCATACAAAATATACTCTAGTGTCTTGTGAAATTATTTGTGAAAGTATTCAATCTTCAAAAAACGGTATGTCAGCTGGGCGCTGGTGGCTCACGCCTGTAATCCTAGCTACTCAGGAGGCTGAGATCTAGGATCGCGGTTCAAAGCCAGCCCGGGCATGAGAGACTGTGAGACTCCTATCTCCAATAAACCACCAGAAAACCGGAAGTGGCACTGTAGCGCAAGTGGTAGAGCGCTCGCCTTGAGCTGAAGAGCTGAGGGACAGCGCCCAGGCCCAGAGTTCAAGCCCCATGACCAACCAAAAAAAAAAAAACAACGGTATGTCATCTGAAAAACAGGGATATTTTTCATTGTCTCTGAATTATTATTTTATATTTCTACTGACGTTAACTGAAATATTTATAACAAAAAGTTTTTTACCATAAGTATTGAGGATAAGCCCCAGCTTGGCTTTGTTCTAGAGATGGTTTTTTTTTTTTTTTTTTCCTTCCTTTTTACCAGTTGAACTTTAAGGTTGATTTCTGTGGGATTTTTCCCAAGGCAATTTCTCCAATTATGAACTATACTTTCTCAAATATGTGTGAATTTTACTAATGTAAAATTCTTTCAACACAGAAAATGGAAGTTGACTTTAAAAATGTAGACCAGATGTGATGTGTAGCCTGTTAGCTAAAATTCCAGATGATAAGCTAAAAGAATTTTCTAGTGATGTGCTTGAGAGTGTAATGGATATTATGTTTATCTCCAAGAAAAAGATATCCAAGAGTGCTGCTTCAGTTTTTCCCGTATTCCTAATCCATCTTTTTGGATGTCATTAAATAATGTGTGAGAAAAATGAACACTTAGCTAATACATTTTGAAAGAGTATTTTCATAAATGAAGAATTCTTATTCATAAATAAGAACTTTTTGACTTATGAGCAATCTTGTATCAAGGACACGTAGTATCTAGTGTTAGTTGTCTTAGTTGACTCCTGTGGAATCGCATGGTTTGAAGTACTTTGTGGATCTGAGGGAGTAGTATGCCATTTCTTCCTTGTCTGGTTGCCTCATGCCCAGTTTATACAGCAAACATCTTCCTTAAAAGGTGTAAGAGCAGTGTAACTGACAGATGGCAAAAGGAGGAGGACGAGGAGGCCTTTTTTGATTTTGGTAAATCAGTGAACAGATTTGTTAACGTGAGAACACATATATCTTAACATGGCAATCCAACAGAACATTTCAAAGCCTTGGGGGGCGGGGGAGAAAGGCATTCCTTTTTTACTAGTTTGTACCTAGTATGCTTTATTTAAAATCATTTAGTTACTAATACATTTAATGACCAAAGCTCTGCAGTTTGTTAATATAAATTATCCATCTTCACACGGTAAAGCCTATTTTTTTTTGGGGGGGGGGGGGTACCCTGACCTAAAAAAACAATGTTTTTGATGGTGGTGCCGATCCACGAACACTCAAATCCCTGTGTTTAAATGTAATCTATGTATTATTTTTATTAAGGATTGGGGTA